GTGTATATAAAGATAAAGCTAGGTACAATTTACTTTTGCTAGAACTCTTCTTCACAACTACAAATCAAGACACCTTTGCAGGTCAGCGTTGAATGCTAAATGTGGAGAGGATCATGTTGGTCCATCTGGACATGCCACTCACCAGCATGGCGGCCCTGGATGACGCAGGCCCGGATGCCTGACAGATCGGAGCTCTGAATGCTGGCTTCCAGTGGGCGTGACTGAGCTGCTGTGTGAGGCTCCTTCCCCTCTAGCTCCCTGCTTCTCATGACTTCCTCGTAGTGTGCACAGGACTCCCCAGGGATCTTGTGAAGTGCAATACCAAGGTGCTGTGGTTGTTAACACACCCAGTTGGTGGAGTCCCAGGCTTAGCCCCAGGGGCCGGAGGAGTGCGCTGAGCCTCCGCATGCTGGGTTGCGCCCAGGTAGTCAGTCCACACGGGCAGCAGCACTTGGTCAGAAGACCGTCAGTCAAATGGCTGAAAACATGGTTAAACTAATTTTTAAGCATCAACACTGCTTTTTTTCTTTGTTAAGGCAAACACTTAGGAAGTTAACCTGCAGAATCGGAAGCCTCCGTCTGCAGCTTCTATGAGAAAGGCCAGGACTGGAGAGAGCTAGTTATGGGAGGCATGCCCACATCTCTGGGTGGCACGTCTTCTCTTGTGGGCACGGCTGCTGAGCTGCTTGCTTGCTCATTCTTACAACTGGCGTTCTACCACCTGAGCCACACCTCCAGTCCTGCTTTTGATTTTTTTAAAAAAAGAAATGAAGTTGCATGAGTTTTTCTGCCTGGGCTGGCCTTGAACCACAGTTTTTCAGATCTAAATCTCCTAAGTAGCCAGGATGACAAGCATCCAGCTTAGTTACCTCTTTTCTGATGCCAAGCCCCACTGAATGCTTTGTGGTGGTGATCTAAAAACAAAAGCCACACAGAGCACAGGGGCCAGCAGCTTCTGTGGGCAGTGGTCTTTCCCACAGTGACCTCAGTGTTATTTACCCTGTGGACAGGTAGGCCATGCCAGCTAGGACAGCATAAATCCCTTTGAGGGGACCAAGAATGGTACTCGGCTGTAGCGCACGTAGTGGGCTATAGCGAGTACTCAGAGACTGGAGGAGAGTGAGAGAGTGAACTGAACCCTTCATGTAGAGGGAAGGCAGATTCTGTGCTGGAATTCTGGCTCAGAAAGCCCGTGTGTCCTTGGGGTACCCTGGGGGTCTGTCATGTCCTGTGATAACTTTTTCTTAGTGACGTGATTGGGTAAATTTATGACTATTCCATAAGTAAAATCATTCCTTCTATGGAAAGAGTTATCTGAGCAGACGTGATTGATTTTAATCCAGGCAGGTCACCCCCTCACAGCGTGGGCTTATTTGAAAATGGTCTCGCTTTGGAGCCTGACACTCAGATGTGTTTGCTGAGGGTCTCTATGCCTGCCTGTCAGAAGGGCTTAGCGTTCATGGAAGGCTTGTGGGGCCAGGTGGGCTTCAGACTTCTGGCACCTGTGCAATCTTCGAATGCTGGGATTGCAGGAACACTGTCATCCAGAGAGATCTTGTAAGTAGAGTGAATGAAAGCAGTGCAGTGAGTCCCGAGTCTTCAGTAGCTTGAGGTGAAATAGCAAAAGAAAGTTCCAGCGAGCATTGATCACGAGGCTCTATGGGTTCCATTTGAAGACCTGTTTGTTATGCTGAAATTAATGCTTTTTGTCAAAAAAGGGATTGAGATATCTGAAACAGTGTTAACCACAGACAATGAAAAAATGTCCCCAGAGCCTGTGGCTCTGGGCTGGTCAGCATCTAGGACAGCTGGTTCCCCTGGGGTCCGGCCTGAAGGACACAGGAGATGTTCGCTGAGATGGCTTTTGTCTTAGGCTCTGAATCCTCCTACAGCTGTGCTGCTTTGATCAGCAGACTCCCAACCCCTGTGCCTTTGCGTCCCCACCCCCACCCCCACAAGGACCTAGGACAGCCCATTTCCAGAGTGAGGCTGGTGTTTGCTGACAGCCAGAAATTCTGACTCCGCTACTGCAGCCTCCAGGTGTGCCCGTGCCCCTGAGCACCTACAAGTGCCCACTCCTGCGTACACCTCACATTCCCTTTCAGTGTGAGGCCCTGAGGCATTTGCCCACTGCACAGAGTTCAGGAGGAGACAGTGCTCTATCCACTCGTGATTACTGACTACAGACATTATATTTGCAGAAAGTGTGTATGTACATGCTCACTACTCAAACCCATGGGTCAGTCCAGGAATGGATGGCTACGAGACTGAGGAGACGGGTGTCCTCGGGCATACTGCCCATCCCCAGCTCACACTGGCTCTTTCCTGCCAGCCAAGACTTTTTCTTTCTTTCTTTCTTTTTTTGCCAGTCCTGGGCTTGAACGCAGGGCTTGGGCTCTGTCCCTGAGCCTTTCTGTGCTCAAGGCTAGCGCTCTACCACTTGAGCTATGTGGTACTGAGGAATCCAACCCAGGGCTTCATGCATGCTAGGCAAGCACTCTACCACTAAGCCACATTCCCAGCCCACCAGCCTGGACTTTTGTTCCCCACTTACACCTCTCTCCCCCACCCTGATTTTGTGCCCGGTATCCTGAGCCCCCTTTGCTTGGCCTGTCCCCCACCCCTTGACCCGCAGGAGGTGGGTACCTCCTCTGTTAGACAGGGGCCAGCCTGCTTCCTGCTCTGCCAACAGTGCTACAGTCCCACTTCCGTCTTCCCTGCGAGATGGAAGTCTCCCGTGGGCCCTGTGACCTCCCCGTCCCGGCCTCAGCACCAGCGCTGCCATCCTGAGCATTCCTGATGCCACCAAACTCCCCTCCCCCGGTTTCTGGGGGTGAAGCCGCTTCGCTTCTGCAGATTTTCCCCCCACCCCATTTTTGTTTCTGCTCATCTCCTCCTCTTGGTCATGGGGTACACACTATCCTTTCTCTCCCCATTTCTTTCCACTCGCTACCCACCCCCACCGCGTCTGTCTTCAGTTCTGAACTTCCCCTGACTTTGTTCCTCCACCTCAGCCCTCGGAGCCCTGCAGAAGGCCTTGCTCTGCGCTGGAATTCGTCTCTCTCCATTCCCATCACCGGCTCAGCTCCTATCCTGACCTTTCCATCGCCGTCACAGGATGCTCAGCGTCAGCCGCCCTGTGACTTCATAGTCCTCCTACCCCTCGCTCCTCTCTCTCTACCTGTCACACTGATTCCTCACCATGCTTTCTCATGAAACCTGTGGCTTCTACCCCAGCCTGCTCTAGATCCCCCCCATCCTGAAGCCCTAAAACTGCAGGCCTTACCCCCAAGCTGTTCCAGGAGCCCCGAGGTGCCAGCTGCTGTCACCCCCTTCCAGACCTCCCTTCACACCACTCCCTTCTGGTTCTAGCCAACCCCGCGCAGCCTCGACATGGATCCTTGGGCAGGGAGGGCTCAGCACCTTCTTGTTTGCAAATTTGTGTAGAAGTATGAGCAGAAGGCTAGAGGTGCGGCTCTGTGGTGGGACTGCCTAGCATGTGTGAGGCTCTGGATTCAGCCCCTTTGTTGCTCAATTAATAAATAGAAAGTGGAAGGAAGGGAGGTGAAGGGAGGTTGGTTGATTTTAAGTTCCTTTAAAGTGAAAAATTATTTAGGGCTGGTAAAAGAACCTACTACTTAGGCTGGGTGAAGGGAAGCCTAAAATAGAGGTGTAGATCGTTTGGAGAAGCAAGCTGAGAAAGGAAATGGAGAATTTCGCATAGGATAACTCAATTGGGAGCAGGCAGAAGGATGGGCTTGTACCAGTAGGTGGCGCTGTGCAATGCATTGGCTGATGGTGGTTCTTTGGTCACTGAGTCTTTCTGAGCTCCTCTCCTGATTTCTAAGGGGATGATTATGAATGCTGTGAGCAGTAAATGAATTCTGAAACACTGTGCAGCGTTAGCACAGTTCCTTCTCTTGCTATTTGCCTCTCCCTTGTGAAGGGCGTTCTAGAGAGGCGCCCTCTCCCTGTAGAGGCCCCAACAGGTGCTGTAAGCAAGAGCCCTGCTGACCCTCCAGTGGGAAATCTGAACATGAAACACTTGCAGGAATGCAGCAATAGACCAGAAAACGCATGTTAGCACCCACTGTGGAGGAGGATGGCAGGGTGGCAGGGCCGGACAAGGCAGCCTGTCCTAGGAGTGCTGATGGAGGAGAGGTGGCCGACCAGTGAGAGGAGGGAAGAAGGGGCAGCTGGGTGCAGATGGGGAGGTGTGTTCTGAATAAGGGAGCTTTCGCCAGTGCCCACGGCAGACCGTGAGAGGGCCCAGGAGCCTGGTGCCTTTAGGAGCCTGGGCTAGATGGTCACTACTTGGTCAGGGCGTCGGGTGTGTGGGTTTGTGGCATGAAATGAGTTCGCTCTTGTCTGTCTGTTCCATGGCCACAAATGATGCTGACCCTTGACCCTGCTTCTGACCCAATTCAGCTTTTGCAGAATAGCTCAGGCAACCATCACTGAATGCCTGCTCTGTATTTGTCTCACTGAGGTTGTGTTGTTGTTTTTTAGTGCTGGTACTAGGGCTTGAACTCAGGGCCTGGGTGCTGTCCTTTAGCTTTTTCTCTCTACCACAGGAGCCATAGCTCCACTTCTGGATTTTTGCTGGTTAATTGGAGATAAGAGTCTCATAGACTTTTTTTTTGCCCAGGTTAGTTTTGAATTATGGTCCTCAGATTTCAACCTCCTGAGTAGCTAGCATTACAGATGTGAGCCAGTTACTCTTTTTATTACTGGAGGACTCCCCTTGAACCTGAGAGCTAAGGATGCTGGAAGTGTCAGACATTCCCTTTTATTTCATCCATATAGCCAGTCAAACCAAGTTTCCTGTTGGAGATGAACTGGTTTGCCTCTTTACACAGGCTAGCTTATTTGAAGCTTTGGGCATCCTTGGAATTGTTGGGAGAGGATTGAGGAATGAGTCTGGGGAAGGATCACATTTGGTATAGCTGTGCAGACTGGCTTCTGCATTTACACTGAAAATTCCTTCTTTTTTTCTGCAGGGAAAAGTGGAAGTAGAAGCTGGGAAAGAAGGTATGAAGTTTGAAGCGAGTGCTTTTTCATACTATGGTGTAATGGCCCTCACAGCCTCTCCAGGTGAGCTTGGTTCTCTGCCTCTGAGGACAGGGCACACTTTAGGAAACTGTCTTCATCTGTCAGCTTATTTATTTATTTTTTGAACTTTCAATCAATGTACATCATATACAAAACTATACATATACACAGACAAATACAGATGTGTACTTATGACTACACATCTCCTTAAGTTTTCACATAATGGACATAGCCCTGTAAATAAGCAGCCAGAAGGAGAAGCAGAGTAACACCAGCCCTCCCCTCCCATTTTCCCCTGTCACTGTTCCCCAAAAGTAACCACTGCATCTTCTTGGACTTTATAGAAATGGATTTACACAGAATACATCACTGAGTCTGGCCTCTCCCTCAGCACCGTGCTTGCCAGCCATCTGTATTGTGTGGTGTTACATTCTGTTTCCTCTCACTACAGTGCAGTGGTGTACATGTGAATGCCATGCTGTGTTGATCCTTTCTGTTGATGATAGACATTGGGCAGTTTCCTGTTTGAGGCTACTATGGCAGATGGCCATGCACATTCCCGTACCTGGGGTTGGTGGGCACATGTATGTTTCTGTTGGTGGTTCGGGTGTGTGTACCCTTCACCTTTGGCAGACCCTGCTCAGTTGTCTGCCATCCAGCACTTGAGTCTCAAATATGAGCTGTTGTGGAGTTTTCCTTAGGACCTGCAGCCTGATCTCCTTACCTGGAGAGCTGGCCTCTAAGGGTGGGTGTGCCCCGGGGGACTGACTGTTCTCTGAGTGGAAGATGCCAAGATGCCAGCAAGGTGCTCTAGAAGGAGTGCAAACCACACCTGTTGTTCCCTTAGCCTGGGGACTTCAATGTCTCTAGGCCTTTGCTTACCTTACCCTGGTAGCAGCAGGTCAGACAGGTAAATGGAGGTGCTACAGTGCCACCTTGTGGCCAAAATACCAAAGGGCATGCCATGCTAGGAAACATAACCAATCCCTAATCTAGCTACTTTACCACCTTATAGGGTGGTGACCCTATGAGGGATGTGACCCCAGGGATGTGCAGTGAGAAAGTCAATGAACTGTCAAGACTTCTTACATTTTAAACCTGTTTCACCCAAGATCGATCTTCTCACTCTCCAGTGTAGATATCGGAGTTCTGTGCCCACAGAAGCCCCATTGTCCAGGGCAGCCCAACACTTAGAACAAACCTGGGCCCCGACCTGCTATAAATTTAAAGATGATTTTCCATTTCCACTGCTTATAACACTGGAGAAGGGGGAACTTTGTAACCAGGCCCAGGAAGACCCAGACCACAGCCTCAGTTCCGTTACATGCAGATTGCATAACACCAAGAAGAGCCCTTGGATTCCTCCTTATTAGGAGTGTATAAAGCTGGGTGTTCATAGCTCAAGCCGGGTGCTGATGGCTCACACCTGTAATCCTAGCAATTTAGGAGGCTGAGTCTAAGGATCGCGGTTCAAAGCCAGCCTCAGCAAGAAATCTGTAAGACTTATCTACAATTAACTACCAAAAGGCTGTAAGTGGCGCTGTGGCTCAAGTGGTAGAGAGCTAACTTTGAGCAAAAAAGCTCAGTTGGCTAGGCACTGATGTCTCACTCCTGCAATCCTAGCTACTCAGGAGGCTGAGATCTGAGGATCGCAGTTCAAAGCCAGCCCAGGAAGGAAAATCCATGAGACACTTATCTCCAATTAACCACCAGAAAACCAGAAGTGGCACTGTGGCTCAAGTGGTAGAGCACTCACCTTGAGCTGAATAGCTCAGAACAGCGCTCAGGCCCCAAGTTCAAGCCCCAAGACCGATTAAAAAAAAAAAAAAAAGCTCAGTTGACAGCACCCAGACCCTGAGTCCATGCCCCAGAACTGGCATACATTCACACCCACAAAGTATATAAAACACATGTTGTAATCCCAGCTACTCAGGAGGCTGAGACAGGAGGACATTGTTTTGAGGATAACATAAACATAAAAGTCTCCATCTCTAAAATAACTGGCAAAAAGTTGGGTTAGAGATATGACTGAAGTGATAGAGCACCAGCTGAAAAGCAAGCTAAGCAGGTGAAAGGCTGAGTTTTAAATCCTGCTGCTGGCACAAGACAAAATAAAAAACCAGACAAATGTAAGAAAAACCATTGTCTAGCAAAAAAGTATTATAGTTGTAACTGTTTTGGTAACCTGCTTGAAATTAGACCCACGTTAGAACCAGATCTATAAGATGGTAACTTATCCACTTGTATTGATAATGAGTTTTTTGGCTTTGTTTCATTTTGCAGTTTGAACTTAGGGCTTTGTACTTGCTAAGCAAGCACTCTACCACTTGAGCCACTCTGCCAGGCATTTTTGTGTTGGTTATTTTTTGAGATAGGGTGCATGCTCAGGCCACTCTGTTCTACCATCCTATTATTTGTGCGTCCTCGTGTCTCTCAGATCACAGACGCATCCCACAATGCTCAGACACAGCCATGGTATGACTCTCTGGAACTTTTTCACCTGATCTGCTCTTGGACTACACTCTTGAGCTGCCTCCTAAGTGATTACTAGTTCTTTAAACCTAAGTATTATCTCAATTAATATTGAACTGCAGTGAGAGGACCAGTCCCCTTGGGAGACGGAAGTAAGGAGTGGCCCTTCTCTGGGAAGCCGAGGGCTAGCTGCGGCTTCCTGCTCCTCCTTTGGGGCTGCCCATAAAGAAGCACAAGCTCATTCATGGCATCTCCACGTGGTGTTTACTCCAAAGCCAAATGCTTTATTTCCCTTTACAACTAGGATCTGAGATTCTGTGGTTTAACATTGAAAGGTGCAACCGCACAGGTGTCCATTTCTGCTTATGAAGCTTAGTTGGATAGCCAGAAAACCTGACTCCTGACCAGCATTGCCTGGCATGGGAGTTGTCCTGAGTGGGGCCACAGCTCCCTTCGAGTCAGCAGGGAAGTCAGTGAGCTTGGCCAGCCAAACTCAGGGAATCTCGACACGACATTTCCCTTTACTTTTGCAGTTCATAATCATTTCAAAGCAATTCGATGCGTCACGTAAAAATGTAATGTCAATGTCCTGGAGAACGTGTTGGTTGCCACTAATGGGAGCACTGCCTGTTGGGCAGAGAATGAGTGTTGGGGGAGTGGCTTGTGTCATGGTCTTAGACCAGGTAGGAGTTGAGTTCCCCTTTTGCGTGGCTATTTGTGATTAGATCCTTAAGAAGAACACATTTTGGAGCTGTGAACCCAATGGGTATTCATGGCTTAGGAACATTCTAGGCTAGTAATAGCTTATGAGTGGGATTTCCCCAGCTGTGGCCACTCTGTCCCGCTCTTCCTGGAAATGGTGTGCGTACTTTTGTAGCTTCTAGAATGTCACTTCTGGGATGGAAGGCTTACATGGGTAAAACAGGTCTAGCTCCTGTCCCTGGTATGCAGAGATCTTCTGCCTTTCAATATGGTCTCACCCTGTTTTTCTCCATTTTTCAGTTCCTTTGTCCCTGTCTCGTACCTTTGTTGTCAGCAGAGCAGAGTTGTTAGCCGCAGGCTCTCCAGGTAACTCTGCATGTTTCTTTTTCTTAATTCCCCTGATTGCCAATCCTTGACCCCACAGGAGCCTGGCCGGCCAGGTCCACGCCTTCTATTTGGATAAGACTGTGAGCCCTAAAACTCTTTAAGATTCTCTCTGACATATCAGCGAATTTTAAGATTCTCTGACATAAGAGAAAGCTCTCCAGGAAAGCATAAGCTACCGCAGGTGCAAGGAAGGATTTAGAAAGTTGAGGAGGAATTGTGGGACATGAGCAATGGTGAGCGAGAGAGAGAGAGAGAGAGAGAGAGAGAGAGAGAGAGAGAGAGAGAGAGAGAGAGAGAGAGGAGGGGGGGAGGGAGGAAAGAATGGCTGTCCCAGATGATGAGGGCCTCTACCCAACCCACCTGCACCACTCACCTGGAACTGTCAGCCAAAGGAGGTGGCTGCAGAGGGTCTTTTTCTGACCTTAGCAAGCATGGGGTAGGGAGTTTGCAGGGACGCTGAGGGCCTCAAAACCTGAGACTAGAATATACTCATCTTTTGTAGAAAGCGTTTGGCCAAAAGCCTGAAGGGCTATGAACTTTTCCTAGCAAGCAAAAGAAGAAAATAGCCCTCCACAGAGGCTGACAGCCTTCCTGCCTCTTGGTCTTTCTGCAGCCTCCATGTGCACGGGGACATGCATTTCTGTCCTCCACCAGACAGGTTCCCCCCCTCCGCCTCCTCCCCCCTCCCCCACTTGCCCCTGTCTCTTTTTTCAAGTTAACTGTGCGCATTCCTAACCAGCTGCTGATAACCATGGTGCAGGAGAGTTCGCCGTGCCTCGCTAATATGCCCCTTTGTGCAAAAGAAAGGGGAAGCACTAATCTTTCTTTAATTAAAATCGCCGGGCTTTCCTATTACAGAACTACTTTTCTGTATTGATTTAGTGTAATACAGCTTATGTTTCTAAACCTGACTGATGAAATTTGCATTTCTTAATTTAGTTTCAGTGAAACTATATCATGCTGACAGTAGGCAAGTCTAGTCTTAGAGGGGAATTCATGTCCCTCAAACCTTTGCTTTTAAAGTTAGGGATGTTTGAGGGGTAAGAGAGTTTATTGGAATCCAACCAGCCAGCAGAATACATGTGTATGTACACACATACATATACATACATGCTGTGCATGCATGGGCTTATATGCTCTTCCCCCATTGTATTTGCTTGTATCTGCTTCCTATTTAAGCTGGGCGCTGGTGGCGCATGCCTGTAATCCTAGCTACTCAGGAGGTGGGGCTCAGGACCACAATTCAAGTCCAGCCTGGACAGACAAAGCTGAGAGACTCTTATCTCCAATGAACCAGTGAAAAGCCATAAATGGAAGCAAAGCTCAAGTAGTAGAACACCAGCTTTGAGCAAAAAAGCTAAGCCAGAGCTTGAAGCCCATAAAACAAACAAACAAACAAAAAAGCTCTAGTTTCTACTTTAAAACGCCAAGATGCTGAAGTAGCTGACTTTGGATTTGTATTTTACACTCCCCATTGAATGGAGAAATGTCTTCGCTCTGCCTGCTGCAGCTGATCCTGTAATCACCGTCTGCTTTGCTGCGTCTCGCCCACAGGCGTGGCCGTGAGAGGCTGTCTCACTCATGGGGGACAGATTCAACCGGTCATTTCCAGCCTCTTCTGGAAGGTGCATTTTGGCTGGAGACTGGGAATGAATACCTGTCAAAAGGAAAGGGTTTCTAGGCAGGATGCATAAAATAAGGTAGGACAAAAAGCAGGGGGAAAAAATAGACAAGCAGTGCTAAGGTGGCAGAGAGGAATCAAACCAGAGTTTTCTTATTATCGTCATAAAATCTTGATCCATAAATTTGGCAACCATGTAGGAGCTGAGCTGGTGGCGGGCAGTGCATTGAAGCCCCGGGGTGTGTCCCCCACCCGCCATGCTGGAGACCTGCCGTACTGGAGATGGGGTCCTACAAAACAGAGGGGGCTGCTCCAGGCTGTGATTTCCAGCAGTGGTCTTCTGGCAAGGGAAAGACGCGCCAGCTGGGGACCCAGCATGCAGGGCCCTCACGTGCCAAGCAACAGAGACCCTCTGGTTTCTTTCTCTTAAACCTTCACATTTGAACATGTAGAAGTCAAATAAACACTGTTCGAAGTTATTAGGAGAAATGGTGATGGGATTTGTGGCTGACCCCTAGAGGAGCAGTGGCCTTGCTTGCTTCTAGGAACTGATGGATCTGCCCTGGCGGGGGGAGGGGAAGGGCCGAGGGGATATTATCGCCCTGGGAAAAGGCCTGGCCTCCTGGGGCGGGCACATACATGGTGGCTGGATTTGGAAGGACGCTCACAGGAAGGAATAGAAAAGGTTAGCAAGAACTGAGGGCTGGTGGTTCATGCCAGCCCAGGCAGGAAAGTCTGAGAGACTCTTATCTCCAGTAAACCACCAGAAAACTGGAAGTGGCACTGTGGCTCAAGTGGTAGAGCACTCGCCTTGAGCTGAAGAACTCAGGGACAGCGCCCAGGCCCAGAGTTCAAGTCCCACGACCAACAAAAAAAAGAAAGAGAGACAGAGACAGAAAGAAAGACAGAAAGACAGACAGACAGAAAGAAAAGAAAGAAAGAAAAAGAAAGGAAGGAAGGAAGGAAAGAAAGAGAAAGAAAAGGTTAGCAAGGTGCATTTCTGGGCCATGTGCTGGGTATCAGATGCTGCACTAAGCACTCCACGTTATCTTATTTTGAACCCTCAGACCTTATGAGGTAGGTGTGCACTTTGTCGATAAGGAATTTGTAGCTTAGCAAAGCTGGGTCACCTGTTCAAAGTTCCCTTGTGCTAAATATACAACACAGATCAATTATTACTGTGCCTTGTTCTCTTAGGAAATAAGCAAAAGCAACTAGAGGAACTGTCACTCAGAGTTTAATTTTGACTAGCAGTGGAAAACTAGTTCATAAAATGACAGATGTAGACACGAAAGTTGTGAGAAATTAAATTCATCATCTGAGAGTCCTAGAGTACTGATGTTTTGGCCCTAGTGTTCTATTTTATTTTTAAATTCAGAGTTTCTTTAAATAAAGTAAATCTCACTAGTAGTATTCTCATCGTTAGGTAGTTGTACAAAGGGATTTCAATTCAACATGTCAGTTTGGAGTACAATCATTCTCCCTGCATCTCTCCCAACTCCACCCATCCTCTCAATTTCCCTGGCTCCATTCTACATACGAACATCAGATATTATGACTTTATCCTCTCACCCTTCCTCTCTCCACTCATCTGTCCCCTCCCCTTGGCTGCGTTGTGTGTTGAGAGGGACACTTACCGTATGGGGTTTCGATGGCATTGGGGGAGGGGGAGCTGATGGCTGGTGATACATGTGAAGAGTAGCTGAGAGACAGCCCTCAGGAGAACACAACACTGCAAATGCTTAAGCAGAGGGACGCCTGCTGCGCAAGCTGCATGGTGGTACTCATGGAATGGAAGGGACACTGGACTGTCACGTGAAGTTAGGGAAGTAGACTCTGAATGACACTAGGCTGCTATCGATGGATATGACCAATATGCTGGCTACGCTGTGGGAGAATGTTTACTCCTGTGACGTTACACAGTTCAGGACCTGTATGGTGTGGGCACCTTGTTTATATCTGTGCAAGAGGGTTGTTTATAAAAGACAAAAAAATGGAACTAGGTGCCAGTGGCTCATACCTGTAATCCTAGCTAGTCAGAAGACTGAGATCTTGAGGATTGACGTTCAAAGCCAGTCCAGGTAGAAAAAGTTGTGTGATTGAGTCTGTCTCCAGTTTACCAGTAAAATGTGGACTGGAGATGTGGTTCCAGTGATTAAAGCGCCAGCCAAACAAATGCAAGACCCTGAACACAAACATTAAGGGCCTACAATGAGCCGGGCGCGGGTGGCTCATGCCTGTCATCCTAGCTGCTCAGGAGGCTGAGATCTGAGGATCGCGGTTCAAAGCCAGCCCGGGCAGGAAAGTCTGTGGGACTCAGCTCCAATTAACCACCAGAAAACCAGAAATGGTGCTGTAGAGCCAGGAGCCTCAGATGCAGCACAGCTCCTTTCACTGTCTCACTGAAGAGACGCAGGTTCTTGGCATCTCCTTGCGGCCCCATAGCCCCACGCACAGTGAAGGCCCTCCCAGAGCAGAGCCGTAGGCTGCCTGCATCATGGCCAAGACCAATGTACACTGTTGCTGGCGACAGGACAGGGTGTGTGCTGGGCATGTGTGAGATGGCCCCACATGGCCAGCTGCGTGGCTGACCGGGCTGTGTGCTGATTATTATTTTTCATTTGAAAAAAAAAGAAACAGCTCACTATTGGCTATAGCATTTCAAAGGGGGTTTCTTCCTTTTGTAGGTGAAAATAAGTCCCCTCCTCGCCCGTGTGGCCTGAATCACTCAGACTCTCTGAGTCGAAGTGACCGGATCGACGCGATGCCCCCCTCGCTGGGGAGCAGCAATAACCAGCTCAACTCTTCCTTCCTGCAAGTCTACATCCCCGACTACTCGGTGCGGGCCCTTTCTGACTTGCAGTTTGTCAAGGTAAGTGGAGAGAGGGTGGCTTGGCTGGACTCAGTAGGTAGGTAGATGGCCCACTGGCCCTCCAGGCCCTCCTCTCCGTTTATCCTCCATTGCTGGGATGTCACCAGGGGGCGCTGTCCCCATCAGCTGGGTCCAGGACTCAGGCTGGGAAGCACAGGGTTTTCTTGACTCAGAGGTCCAATGAGCAGCCTTTGGAAAAGAGCCGCCCTTTCTCCAACAGTTGTCCTGAGCCCATGGCCAGTGACTCCAGCCAGGTTGGCTTGGAGCCACGCCGTGGCTGCAGAGGCTAAGCCTCCGGCGAGGGCTCAGAGAAGCTGTTTCTTGCCTTCTGTCCAAGAGACGGGATCTTTTCTTAGTCTGAATTAAAGATGTCTCTTGGAGAATAAGCGAGGTGGAAGTTCATCTCCATTTCCTAGTCTGACATTGGGAGACAGAATTTGGAAATGGTTACATCATTAAGAACCAACTTGTCTGGCAGAATCAACCTGAACTTGGCTCCATTTCTACTCAAGGATGATTGTGTCCTAGAGAAACTTACACACCTAACCTTTAGGGGGTTCGTGTGTAAGAGTAGAGACGAGAGAGCCTAAAAGTAAGCATTATCTTGGTTTGTTTTCTGTGTCATCTTCCGGCCTCAGATCTCCAGGCAGCAATACCAAAATGCCTTGATGGCATCCCGGATGGACAAAACTCCTCAGTCTTCAGACAGTGAAAACACTAAAATTGAATTGACTCTTACGGAGCTGCATGACGGGTTGCCAGATGAGACAGCCAACTTGCTCAATGAACAGAACTGTGTGACTCACAGCAAGCCCAACCACAGCCTGCACAATGAGGGTGCCATCTAGGGGTGCCCTGAGGGCCCTCCCCACCCATCCCCCCCCCCCCCCCCGTGGAGGCCCGGCCTCTGCCCCACCACAACTTCCATCCGTGCGAACTTGTCTGCCATGCTGCGTCCGGCACCATTCTGAGACCAAAGACTTTGCTCCCTTCCTGGAGGCCTCGGCGGAGGACAGCACCGGGAGGGATGGAAACTAGAAGTGTGACACCGATGGTTCGGTCATGGCATTCAAGAGTCTGGAGACAAACTTCTTCCGCCCAAATAGAATCATGTTTATTTTTTCAGCTGTACCTTTTATCATTACTCTCCTCCCTCAATTTGCATGAAGGTGAAAATCGTGGCGATTTATTTTTTCAAGAGATCGTGTTTTTTAAAAGTGTCTTTTTTGCAGAGTTTCAGGTTGTTCTGGTTGAACTCTGCTGTGACCCTATGATATGACCCTAACAGGATGGACTTGTCCCCTCCAGTGGCCTTCCTTGGCCCTCCCCAGAAGGGACAGCCTTCTTCTGGGCCCCCGTGGGTGTCGCTGTGGAACTTGATGGATGAATGAAGAAAACCATGTCACTTCAGAACCCGCCAAGTCTGTCGTCAGTGTGGGGTGTAGGCTGCAAGAGGGACCTGCGGTCTCAGGTCTGCATTCAGTGTTGTTCTGAGAATTTAATGTTTAACCATTCCCTTTTCCCCTAGGAAAGTTTAACATTTGCTTGGGAATGTGATTTTTTTTTTTTTGCTCCCACCCTAAGGAATTTCGATCACCCAAATGAATGTTAATGAATTTGAAACCCATGGTTTATCATTGGCAAGAAGCAAGTTGACTTCATCCTGGCATTCCTCCAGCCTGGGGTGTCAGCTCAGCCAGCCCTCCTCCCCCCCAAGCCCGGAGCACAGGTGCTGGTCCCCACCGCCCACCCTTGCTCTTGCTAACCCAAGATGCTGCTACACAGATGCCAAATGGAAACTTTCCACAGGGCTCCTTGGTAAACACGGGGTATGGAGGCCACCCGCCCCCTCCCCCTTTCCCCACTGGGTATGTGTATTTATCAGAACAGGAGGTGGGCTCTGTCCTCTGGGCTGAGAGGGCATTTCTAGATCTATGTTTTTAAAAGGAGGGAACCTTGGGACTGCCAGTCCCTGCCTTCCAGGGAGCCAACTATCTCTCTTCCCCTCTGTCCCTGAGTAGCAGAGCCCAGCAGGCAATGCCCCCTGGTCCTCCTGTCTCGGATATGACTGATGCCAGAGGCTGCCAGGGAGAAACCAAATGTGTGCTGTGGCCACTTTCTGTGCGTCTCCTTGTCTTACTTTAATATCAGATTCACCCTGTATAGTGAAATTCCTATCCACAGGTATTCTTGAGTGACTGAATTCTTAATTAGTTGATTCGTGTTTTAAATGCGAGCCAAGGGATAGAGTCATACACTGAAATGAATTCCTTCTGACCACAGTGTTGGCTAAGGATTATCTCTGCCCACTGTAGCCAGTCACTGGCCGAAAAGAGAACATTCCTGCGTTTGCCTGCAGCTCCATGGGCCCACATGATGGGCTGGCCTCCTGGTGAGCAGTTTGGTTAATCTGGATACTGTGGGGGAAGGGAGGTACAGGGGATGGAACCCAGGGCCTTGCACACCTCTGGGCTATACCCCAGGCCTTAGTTTGATGGATCTGGTGTCACATACATTAACTTTGTGCCCTGGATTGTGTCCCTAAAAAGGGGGCCGTGCCCCTCGGTGCAGAGAAACTCGTCTCCCTTGGTGGTGAGTCACAGGACGTCCCTTCTAAAGAGGCTGGGAGGGCTGCTGCTGCCTTGGGACGGAGCTGGTACCATACGGCATGACTCTAGTGGGACCCTATCCCATATCCCCTTTACACAATCTTTATTCAAGTGAGAGTGTGTTCTCTAAGCAGCATCTAGTGGACATGAGCCCCTTGATGATGAGCCTGGCTGGGGCACTGGTCTCTCCTCCAAGCTGCCACCCTGGCCCAGCATTATTTGCTTTCCTTGGGGTCTGAGAGCCAAGTGGCTGAGCTGAGCTGAGATTCTCTGGCCTTGGGACTGTCAGCCACTCGGGCCCAGGGCTATTCTCCATGCACAGCTGTCTTGGTGCCTTGTGCTGCTAAGAGGAATCATTGGAAGAGGTCGTGTGTTGCTGTTCTTTCTCAGAGCTCCACTCTTCCTTCACAGACTCAAGAGAGCTGGGAGGCTGGTCTGTGCAGCGCCTCAGCTGCTGCCTCTCTGATATCAGAACTCCTTCGTGTCCCTGCTTAGGGTGGTAGCTTCTTGCCAAATGTTCTCTTATAAAGGAGCTGGCAGGGTGGCTTTGCAATGGGGCTCCCAAAGGATGAAGATTATTTAAGCCTGCCAAGTTTATGTTCATTTCACCTTTTGATTCTTCACACTGTAGTATAATAGGGACTCCTGCATAGTTTCTATGCAGGCCCTGAAGGAATGAAGGCAAACATTTGGCTGTAATGACACTTGCTCAGGGGACAGCTCCAGACCCTCCTTTAACATTTGCACTGGAGCCATCAGGTTCCTCTCCTAGGCCACACTGGCCCTCGGCCAGTGGACCCCCTCAGACTACTGGAGGAGGAGAATGGCATTGGCTAGGAAAGCCTGTGCCCTTCATAGTGGTGAAACCCATTGGCAGAGCCAAGACTGCAAGTAGTTGAAGTCTCCGTAGCAGTTAACTGCCTCGCCCCCAGCAGCTGTGGCCAGATTGTCTTCTCCTGGGTTGCATTTAAGGGGCTGAGAGGGGCTGGGTTGGCCAGGATCAGGCCCAGGAGACCCGGATACTCCTGGAAGACTTCCCTTGGGCCACTGCTGCCAGCTCTGGTTCTGTGGGGTGGGAGCAGCCACTCTGGCATTCCTAGTATCCAGACACACATTCCCAGGACACTTTGGCTTCTCTTTATAAATGAAGGAGCCTTTTTCTTACTGTCTCAGAGGATCTTTCCATTGTTCTGTATTCACAGGCAAGTCCCAAACCATCTGTTTAAGCTCTTATGAAAACAGATCCCTGATGATATTTATACATGGATATGGGGTGCTAATTAACTCATAAGTGATTTGAACTTGAAAGGATGCCCCATATAATTCTGTTCTCCCTCCCTCCTCACTCCCAGTAAGCATTCAGTGCCCTATGGGCATGATGAGCTTCCCCAAGTGGAAGGAGCTGGGCATCACACCGCTTTCTTGTGTTATTTCAAGGAACTCGTGCAGAACTTCACACTGATATGGAACACTAACTGTGAATAGATTTACCTTGCTATCCCTGGCTCTATACAACTAAAGAACCAGCATTTCCAAGTCTTGGGAGACAGTGGCAGATACCAACACAAATTCATTTCTCCTAGGAAGTGGAACATAGTTTGAGCCTCAAGTTCTTCAGGTTGAAGAGCAGACGTAGGTAGGCACTGGCGACTGAGCCCCATGACCTTCTGAAGGCTGCAAGGATCTGTGCCATTTTCTCCATTCCTGGATCCAGGGACTAACGTCTCCCCAGGAGTGAGGCCAGGCAGATGAATCTTCTGGACTGGTGCAGGAAAATGCTTACCTTGTCCCCAGGCTAGGAGGGCTGGGCTTGCATAGTGCTCTGTGTAACCCATGCTCTGCTGGCTTATTCCAGCCAGGATTTTCTTGTGAAGGGATGAGAAAATGTAGCAAATCTGGCACTTCTGGTACTCCCTTCTTAAGGAAACAGGCTCCTGGGCCACGCTCTCTTCCTGGGCCACATTTGCTTCCATTCTGGGCTGTGTATTAGTGGTGCTTCTGTCCAGTAATGGTAACTGGATCTGCTGTAGGATAAGCCAGAATTAGGAATTTAGAGAGCTGAATATGAAAATGACTTGGAGGATTCAGAAACTTTTCTGATACAGATCTATCAATAAGCAACTTATTCAGTGGGTTTTTAATACCTCAGGTCCATTGTCTGATTTCTTTCACATTTGAGTGGCTGATGAGTTCAGAGACGTCTAGGCTGAAGTTCATTTACTCCCATTTGAGGGATGAGTCATGTCAAGGCCACGCCTGCGGTAGAACGGTCCCCACAGGTGGGCCTGCCTTCTCCAGGATGCGTGCTGTCTGCAGCCAATACCTATTTGCTAGTCGTCTGACTCTTCCTTTTCTCTCTGAACATTCACATTCCAGTCCTGGTCAGCTGGCCGGTCACAGCACCTGCAGAGCAGGAGCCTCCACCCTCCTGCTGCCTCTGGTTGGGGATCTTTGCTTCTCAGACCTTGATTGGCTTCGCTCAAGTTAACCTTCCCGTGTGCCAGAGCCACCATCTCAACTAGAGTTTTTTTTTTAATGTTTTGATGGGAAATACCAGGTGGTACTTTGAGCAACATAGAAATGAAGGTTCTAGAGGGGGCCCAAGTTGTATGTGAAGCAAAACAACACCCTCTCCCCCCACCCCAGTACTGTGGATTGACCCCCCGCGCTAGCACATGCCAGGCTAGCACTCTTCCAGCCACCCACCCCTCCAGCCCTGTGAAGGTTTGTATTTACACAGACCCCATACATAGCTAAGATTCACAATTTTCCAGGATATAATGTCCATTGGGACCATGTTCAGATGAGGATGACAGAGTACTGTCTTGCCTCACTTAGAAGGGGACCCTGTTCTCATACCTGACCCACATGGGTTTGTTTGGGGAGGGTGTGCAGATTCTTTCAGCTTCATCCTGAAGACCAAAGGGGCTTGGAGGATTGCTTCTTTGGTTGGAGACTTAAGATTTCTTGAGTATAAACAGCTGGTGTCCCAAGCCCCCAAAGGGAATGAGAAAGAGGCCTAGGTTCTCACCCCCTAGAGCTTGTCTAGCTGGTCCTTACTCCCCACAGCTGGTCTACTGTGAAGGTGGAATCTTCAATCCATTGACTTTGTTTTTGCAGTCCTTTTAATCCACAGATGTATATGCTTTATTTTATATTATTTATTATGTACATAGTCTCTATTGTTAGTACATCATCTGTTAACCTAAGACAAGATCTGTTTTGAAGCCCTTCATCCATGGAGCCTAGGGTTCTACTGTCCCTTGTTGGGTAAGAGGGCAGTTTTTATCCTTCCCCCACCCCCAACATATTGCTGCTTTCATCCTGGCCCAAGCGTCCCCGGACGGTCTTATTGCCCCTACTTATTCCTGATGGCCAACATTTGGGAGGAAGGTAGAGGCAGGTCTCCTACCTTGTGGTAGGGCCTACCAAAACCTTCCATGAAGTATTGCCAAGGTTCTTCGACTGAGTCTCTTTCCCTATGCAATGGTACACTAGAACTGTGAGGCCACAGCCTTCCTCCTCACCCTCCTCCCAAGCCAGTGGCCACCCCACAGTATGACCTCTACTTCTGACTGTGGGTTGCAAAATCTCTCTGGACTATGGAAGCTGCCTGCCCATCTGGGCTCTTAATATGCCTTTTATTGGTGGTAAAGTCCAGTGCCAACATTGCCTTGGTCCTCAAGTCCTTGCTTTGTGTTTGATTTTCATCATCCTTGGCCTCTCCTCACTCACTGTATCATGTTGTACATTTCATGCAGTTGAGCAGTAACGTTTTCTGAATATTCAGAGATGTATAAAGCTAAATAAGCACGAATCAAGTGTATAGGTTTCATGTCATAATGAATGCATTTTATAATCCAAATGATGTTGTAGATTTACAATCTATATTTATTTTGTATCAATTTATTTGTAAACCTTGTGATTGTTTTAAAAGGGTTTTTATTTCTATTCTATTTAGATAAATGACTTTCTGTTCACCCTTCTAGATGTATGTTGCCTGTTTCCCCTTTCATTTATGCAACACCCACCATACTGTCTTGTCCAGTACTGTCTTGTCCCAGCCTTGGTCCCCAGCTCGACTGCATGGCTTTACTGGTGGGAAAGTCAGGCCTGCACCTTGGCATGTTAACACATCCGGGCATTTCTCTGGAAAGACACTGCAGTAACTTTGATAACTTCTGTTGTCAAAGAGGTGGGTGCAAGTTCAGTGCCTCCAAGTTAAAGCCTGGTACAGCTGGTTCTGGGAGGTGTCCTCAGCAGAGTGAAGTCTGTCTCCATCGCTAGAAAAGGACACTCACCAGTATCCCAGTATCCAATGCCTAGACATCATCTGTTCTTCCCCCTAACATACATTTCAGCTGGGCAAATAGCCAGATTGGGTCTTCCTTTCCCAGGCAAGGGCAAAGGATTCGCACAGGCCTCTCAGTTGGCTCCTGAAGATGAAGATGGCTGTTCACATCCTCTGCTGGGCCAAGCTTGGAAGATCAGAGCAGGCACTGTTGGGTCACCCTGGTCACATGAACCTGGCACTTACAGGAAGCAGATCAAGATGTTCTTTGGAATTTGATGGGTGCCCTTACACCTCAGTAACTCAGGGTATCATCACCACTTGAAGTTCACACCCTTCACACTCAAGTGTTTTGTCATTTTAGGGCCAATGATACATTCTAAACTGTATCTTTCTGGAGTCTAACCCCCTTTTCTGTTAACTTTACAATTTCAAAGAGGCCCATGCTCTGAGAATTGAGCTTGACCAATCTCTTTTTAGTCCCAATTCATTTGACCAGGGTGTTTAGTGTTTTACTCACACTTGCTCATGGATAGGATACTTCAAGAACGATTGATGACATTACCTTTTGAGATACTACCTGATCTCCACCCCCCACCCCCACTTCACTAGTCACTACCCCATTTCTTTTTTTCTTTTGTCAGTTGTGGGGCCTGAACTCTGTGCCTAGGGCTGTTCCTCAGCTCAAGGCTTGCACTCTACCACTTGAGCACAGTGCACTTCCAGCTTTTTCTGCTTATGTGGTGCTGAGGAATTGAACCCAGGGCCTCATGCATACAAGGCAAGCACTCTACCACTGAGCCACCTTCCCAGCCCCTACCCCATTCCTTAAAAGTAGTGTGAGGTGCATCTATATCCTGTCAAGTGGTGTCATTTTAGTCTGCTCGCATTCCCAAAGAGCAGGCACAAAACAGCAGCAGGGTAGAAGGAACTGGTTGCAGCACATATATTCCTAATTAAGCACTGTCAGGCTTTCCTGCTATACTCTTGTTTAGATGAGTCATAAGCTCAACTCTGAAAATGTGCACAGAAGATGGAGGCAACTTTTCTTCATGTGATTTGTCTGAGCCCTCCAAGTCCTTGGAGTACACGTTAATTCATTACCATTGTACATCCTATTGTGATGTACTCTGGGCTTTCTCTTCACATTTGTGATCCTCAGTCTCAGTGCTTCTGAGGAAACGTACTGATCGGGTCTGGTAGGAAAAGTGACTGAATGGCTTTCCATAGCTTGGAGCTGGTTCCTAGAAATTTGTGTTGTGTGTGAATCAGCATACTGGGGCTTTGCCTTGGGCTGAGTGCTGTCCCTTGACTTTTTTGCTGAAGGCTGGCACTCTACCACTTAAGCTACAGCCCCACTTGTAACTTTTTGGTGGTTAACTGGATATGAGAGTCGTACGGACTTCCCTGCCCAGGATGGCTTTGAACCACAATATCCAGCCTTCTTAGTAGTTAGAATTACACGGTAGAGCCACTGGCACCCAGACCTGGAAACCTATTTTTTTTTTTTAAGGTAAATTTAGTAAGGACATTGATTCCTAATTAAAGGTAAAAAGTCTAACTATATTAAATATCTAATAAACTCGTTTTATGATTCATTGTTTTCCTCCCAAGAGTCTGATGCCTATAGTCACTGTGTACTTTTTCCAAAGTCCCAGGACCTTATAGGGATGGTTAATCAGTCCTTGTCAATGTAGCTCAGTGACATGCTATCTCCTCAGTGAATGTAAAGCCAGTCTCTAAGGGGAATGAGCTGCCACTCCTTTGTTGGAGTGCTTTCCTGCTGGGGTGACAGTGATTGTCATTTGTTCAAATAGGAGGCCAATACTGGCCTATAGTTTTACAGACTGAGAGCTACAGTTCTGTTACACCACTGACTGAGCCAAAAATGAAGTAACTTAAATTTCTACACTCGCAAGTCAAAGACTAATGCTGTTGAGACCCTCCCAAAAAAGACTGAACATTTAATAAACATTTTTCAATGTTGGGAAGGTTTACTTAGCAAAGTCTCTTTCCAAATACCTCAAAGGACCACTGCTAAATGTTTTCCATGGGAAGACTGTTCACTCTGGAAGGGAAGGCATACCTCATCCCAGACACTTTCAGCCTCATCTGTAGCTCTTTGGGAAGAGCTGAATGGAAGAGCAGAGAATTTTGAGAACGTATTTCTACCCAGAGCAGTCTTACTCATTCACTCTTATTCTAGTAATAAAATGGAGCCAAGGGCAACTTACTTTACGTGAAGAAACATAAAAGGGGCCAGACTCAAAACTGTTTGTCAAGTTGTTTTGAAAAGGGAAACAGAGGGCTGGGAAGGTGGCTCAGTGGTAGTGCTTGCCTTGCATGCATGAGGCCCTAGGTTCAATTCCTCAGCACTACATAAGCAGAAAGAGCCAGAAGTGGAGCTGTGGCCCAAGTGGTAGAGCTCCTGTCTTGAGCCGAAGAGCTGAGGGACAGTCCCCAGGCCAAGAGTTCAAGCCCCATGACCAACCAAAAAAAAGGAAACAGAACCAGGCACTGGTGGCTCACATCTATAATCCTGCATACTCAAGAGGCTGAGATCTGAGGACCACAGTTTGAAACTAGCCTGGGCAGAAAAGTCCATGAGATTCATCTCTAATAAACTACTCAGAAAAAAGTTGGAAGTGGCACTGCGGTGCAAGTAGTAGAGTGCTGGCCTTGAGCACAAAAGCTCAGGGATAGTCCCAGGCCCCGAGTTCAAACCCCAGGATTGGGGGAGGGAAAAACAGATTACTTGGACTTGTAGTATCTACATCAGTAAGTTTGAGATTAAATGTTCTATGTTCAATCAGGAATTTTTTTTTGCACTAAAGCTCTACAGAGGAATTTAAACTATATAGTCATGTTTTGCATCTTTTGTGGGTGATTGCACCAGAGATGTACTTATATAAACTGAAGTGATTATATCATCAAGTGATATAATCTTATGGGATGACTGTTATATTTGTCATCATTGTTGACTGAAGTGTTAATGAGGCTGATGGTTGTATTTTATTTTTGAAATTACATACCTTTGTAGGACACCTTTGTCAGACTGTTGTAGCCCTTGTGTCTGAGGACAGGGAATAATGGTTGAGAATAGAAAAGCTGTTTTATTCGTTTTGTAATTCTCTTTTAGATACTTATTTCCTGATATTGCTATGCACTCCACAGTGAGAGGGCAGTATGAAATGCTGCTTTGCGGTTAGTGGAAGTGCATGGCCCAGGCAGTGTAGGTTTCAGAGGTTGCCTGGCTCTGCTTTCTCACAGTTAGTGGAGGTGTATAGACAGGCGTTGAAGGTTTCTGAGGTTGCCTCGCTCTGCTTTCTCGAGGTTAGTGGTATATGGCTGGGCAGTATAGGTTTCTGAGGTTTCCTGGCTCTGCCTTCTTGTGGTTAGTGGTGTTCGGATGGGCGGTGTAGGCTTCTGAGGTTGCTGGGCTCTGCTTTCTTGCTGTGTGTTTGTGTACATCATCTCTGCTCCTCCACAATGCCTGTTTTTCTTTTATCTTCAAGGTTATTCAGGTAGCTCCGTGGTAGATTTCCCAAAGTTGTATATCACTTGAAATCATTCCATCTGAGAAAAAAAGAACTTTAAAGAGAATCTGGATATCCCAGTCACTGAAAAAGAATGTCATGAGAAACATTTAAGTATTGACCCCCTAACTATTAAACCAAGTGAGGAATTAGACTGTTAATGGCAGGGCAAGAGCTGGATCATAGTAACCATTTTTCCCACCATCAAAGAGAGGTTAAATAGTTTCCATAACATGGAATGTGGACAAAGTTCCTAGCCTAATACAGACTTAAATATGCAGTTGTTTGTCTCTAGTGAGTAAGCAGAGTATTTAAAAATGCCCAGGCAGCCTTGGAAAAACTTGAGGGCTTTTAAGTTGTTGACAAAATATTTCTTAAATAAATCTGATTTAAGATATCTAATCATGGACAAAGTATTTTTAAATCTGACATGTAACTGCATGTGATTTTTATAAGTGTTTTCTTAAAGACAATTCTAACATGAGCATTTGTAGCTCATGAGCATTTGCAGCTCTTACGGTATTACTGTTATTCTCTTAAAAAAAACCATTTCTAAAAGCATCTTAGGGTAGCTTGAAGGACTTAATCATTTTAGATCTCAGCAGAGTTATAGATATGGTTGAAGCAAATCTTAGGTCTAATGCAGAACAGTTTTGTTTTGTTTTTGCTGGTCATAGGGCTTGAACTCTGTCTGGGAGCTGTCCCTGAGCTCTTCAGCTAAAGGCAAATGCTGTACCACTTCTAGTTTTCTGGTGGTTAACTGGAGATAAGAGTCTCATGGACTTTCCTGCCCGACTGACTTCAAACCACAATCCTCAGATCTCAGCCTCCTGAGCAGCTAGGATTACAGGCGTGAGCCACTGGCACCCAGCCATAACAGTTCTAAAGCTTAAATTTTTTTTCAGAAAAAAGGAGGTGGCACTGTGGCTCAACTGGTGGAGGCTTGCCTTCAGCTGAAGAGCTGAGGGACAGTGCCCAGGCCCTGAGTTCAAGCCCCTGACCAAAAAAAAAATTTTTTTTAAATTTCAGAAATACACCATCAAAGCTTTAGCTGAGTATTTCTGCTGCAGTAAGTGTAATGGGCAACTATTCTTACAGTGGGAACCCATAGCAGGACCTGGGTAGGTCAGCTATGCCTCTGGCCAGCTTTTTGGTGCACCAGAGTCCCTATTAGTCAGTACATGCTCTCTCTCCGGCTTGTTTGGTCCATCACTCAAGAAGGAGGTGACTGGCATTTTGTGAGGTATGTAAATGAATTGTGCTTTAATACCCAAAAAAAGTGTTCTCTGAAGACATGTCTTTTTGTGGTCTAAAATTCTTCAGGTTAAAAAAAATGGAAAGTATATGTTTTAAGTTCAGTTTTTTTTAACTACTGGAAACAGAGAGGAAATTCACAATTTACCTTTTAAAAAGCCCAACTGCAGCCACTCTCAGTTGCTTGCTCTTGGACATACTTTTGACAGGAGGAGCACCACACTGCTCTGGGTCTAATGCTTCTTATGGAACCCTAGATCTTTAATAATATACTTGGTGGTGTCCATGAAAGCTTTGACAAGAAGTGGAATTCTTATTCCAATTGTGTGCTATGTGTGTGGCATTGTTGGTATAGTGGTGGGCATAGCTGCCTTCCAATTATGTGCTTTTTAATCTCTCAGTCTCTAAAACACAGTTATCTGGTAAACTCAGGAGCAATACAAAAAGTGCGGAGAATAAAACATGATGTCAGTCTTTGCTCTAAAAGGAAAAATATGTACACGTACTATTAATAATAAGGTAGTTCTGTAGCTGTAATAAGCCATGTAAGAGATCATTTGGGCTTGAAGAAACTTAAGACTGTGTCATACTGAGCAACATTATCTGAATGAGAAGTAGGAGCTGAGGTGACTGTAAATATTCTGTGAAATTTTAAAATAGGAATTATATCTAACTGGTATTTGTAACAGCATTAATAACCTGACTTTTCTGGAGCATATATTCCCCATAGAGACTTGTCGGGATGTACGTTCCTCATCATGACATTAGCTAAAAGCCACATACACTCAAGTCACGAGACAGTGTGTCCTTGGCTAAGTTACTGGGCTATGTTCCCTGTCTATAAAATGATTTTTCAAAAAAGCCTCACCTCATAACCATATACTAAAAACAAAACTGTAAAAAAATTCTAAGGCCTATGGAGCCATTTATCTACAATCAGATTATATAAATTCTTGAATATTTCATTTAAACCAAAACAGTTCTGGAGATGTTCAGCATTTTGGAAAATGTGTAATTCTCTTCAGAAAACAATGTCAAACTGTGGTTACTAAGCCAAATTTCAACCCACTTGAAGACCAATGGCTATTATATGGGGTGAAAGTCAGTATTAGAAATATTACATTTTTATTGAATTCTAGAGAAGCTGCTCTATCCTCTCCTACTAACCAATGACAATAGGAATGGAAGAACATATTTGAAGATTAAAGTAAGAATTTATATCGCTGCTTAAAATGTTAGAGTAACTTTCCTATACTGGTAAGGCAGTTATATTGCCTTAATGTGTACAATAATAGTTCATTCTTGTCCAAAGCAGTAAGTAATTTCGCTATGGGATTCAAAAGTGAACTTTTTTTCGCTGACTGTGCCTTTTGATTTAGTATAAACTTCTGGTTTATAAAGCTTTCTTCTTATCCTCTAATGTTCAACTTTAAAACAAAAGCAATCAACCCTAAAGGACAAAGAAGTAAGAACTGTAATGACAGCCCCTACGAAGGAATTAGATGTCCGGAGGAGGCTGCTCCTTTTCTTTTGTCGAGACTTCCTCCATTGTTCTCTTCCAGCTACATTCCTTTATAGACTTAGGACAGAGGAGAAAGACTTAGATAACAGGCATTTATATTAACTTTAAAAATGCAGAAAAGACAAGGTTTTTTGCCTCAAAATAGAATTCCTATAGTCCATTCCATTCCAGAATGGCCCTAGAGCAGAGAGTAGTTCTGCAAAGGCACCGACAGAGCAGCAGCCTTGCTCAAGTACACTCAAAGGCTTATGAAAGTAATCTTGACCTTGACAGAAAGTACACTTGATAATGAAAACAATATATTTCTCCACTGATACACAATACTGTATAATGCACTGAAAAGGCTGGATTTGGGAGTAGCACAATTTGTAACACACAATATTTTTGGATCACCTCTTCCCACCATCCTTTTTGTTCCACTGTGAAACTCTCACCACCCTTAGTGTATATACAGATACACTATGACATACTGAAGATGAAAAAAGACAAGAAAACAGTGTCACAAGCCACTATGGAGCCAACTGCATGCAGTTCAGCCTGACTTTACCCTTCCTTCCAATACAGACTATGTTACAATTTCAAACCATCTGCCAAGAATACAGATACACAGAACTAAAACAAATATTGCTCTATGATTAGAATATTTTTAAGTCTTCAGAAACTTTCCAGACATACCTTTCATGGACTCCCCCACCCTCCCCAGCAGAACCCAAAGATATCCTTTGTTCCTATGAGTCCTGCCAGAATTTGTTCAAGGGGTGTTCAGGGTTTTGTTTTCCTCCTTATTCTTCCTCCTCCTCTTCTTCATCATCATCTTCATCATGGCAGTGTGTAATTTCCTGGGGAGCCAGTGGGAAGAGGTTGGGGGGCTTAATCTCACTAATTGACCTTGTCAACTGGTGCCGCTTATAGTCGGTATCTTTGAAATCCACTGATGTACGGTTTCGAGTGGCAAGGGGGGACTCCATCTCATTGATATCCACATGCGTGTGCTCCACTGTTGACTCATGAGGCATCTAGAACAAAGCCAGAGCTTTGTGATTAGAGGCAGAGCGAATAGGTACTTCCCAAATCCTAATCCCTCTCAGGTGTTATACATGTATCTACAGTGGACCAGAGGTAAGTCATTTGGATATACCTTGACAGAACTACCCAAAGCTGCCTGGCTTTATCCCCCCAGTGGTGGCTGGATTATTTACTATTGCCTAAAACTGGATAGAAAAGATTCTTATTTTCTACTTTGCAGCCAAAAACTCATTCTGAAATACTGGTATCAGAATAGTATTAACAATAGAGAATAGTCTTCATCACTCAGTGTAACTTCAGGGAATAAAGTTATAGTTCACAAATGCCCATTTTTCGGCCATATTTTCTTGTATTACCTGTCAAGTATACTTTGTACAACATAAGACAGAATTTTCAAATCATTTCTTGTGCCATTCTACAAAGCTGGTTGTAGATCCTGATGCAAAAGGGCATTTTAATTATCAAAGTAACTTGACTCACCAAGACATGGGCAGCTCTGAAGAGGTAGCTGAATGGGTAATACAGCAAGTTGATGAACGATGCAGCATAGAGATCAGCATAACGCATCACTTGACTGGCAAAGAGTGTCTGCCGGGAGCCACTACGAAACAGGCTTCCCATCATCCCATAGCACATATCCATGTCATGAGTTACTTTCTAAAAAAAAAGAAAGCAAGATTGATTTTTCAACTGATTCCACAAATATTTGTTTACCAGCTATATGCCAGTCCCTGCGTAAAAACTGGAAATATGGCCAGAAGCTGATGTAATTCTAGCTCCTCCGGTGGCTGATATTTGAGGATCAAGGTTGGAAGACAGCCTAAAGAAGGAAAGTCTGTGAGGTTCTTATCTCCATGAAACTACAAGGGGCTGGCGGGGGGGGGGGGGGGGGGGGGGGGGAGGGGGAATGGCCAGAAGTGGAGCTATGGCTCAAAAGTACTAGACTTGAGCATAAAAGTTCAGAGATAGTGCCCAGGCCCAGAGTTTGAGCCTAAGAACTGGAAAAAAAAATTAGAAATATGAGAATTTAAACAATTGATTTTCCAAGTTTCCTCCCAAACCCTGTTTGGGTACCTTAATTCGTCTCTGGATGGAACTAATATCTGGGCGTTCATTGCTACTGCTGTCAAGGTGCCTAGAGACAAGAGAAAAATCCAGTGAAAATTTTCAGACAGAACGTAACTTATTTACATAACTTATTCCCAAAAAGGTAGATTTTTTTTAAAAGAAAATTTTAGTTATGAGGCACTTACTTGTAGAGTTCAGCCAAGAAAATATCCAAGCTCTGAAGTTCTTCAAAAAGTGCTATTAAGATTTGGGAAAGAAAGGAAAATATATTATGTAGATCAAATCAAAGGACTGTTTTTTGTGGGGTTTTTTTGTTTGTTTGTTTGGTCATTAGACTTGAACTCGGGCCTGGGCGCTGTCCCTCAGCTCTTTAGCTCAAGGCTAACACTCTACCACTTGAGCCACAGTGCTACTTCTGGCTTTTTCTGCTGATGTAGTGCTGAGGAATCGAACCCAGGGCCTCACACATGCAAGGCAAGCATTCTACCACTGAGCCACCTTCCCAGCCAGAACTCAGTTTTTAACCTGTGTTTAAACTAGAAAGTTGCAGCTATGACCAAAGAGTACAGCCTGAGACTAACTTGCCATAGTCAGGTATACAGAAACTATCTCTTGCTTAGGGAAAACCAACTGATACCCTATTTGAACTGACAAGCAAATGAACACCATAATTTCCAAACACTGACCACAACTTTCCCTTCCAGCTATATGCTAATTATGAGTTTGCAAAATGCCAATTCCTACTCTGTCTCAACTACAGTCAGCCAAACAAGTTCTGACAGTCCCTTTTTTGTGTGTCTGCTAGTCCCGGGGCTTGAACCCAGAGCTTGGAAGATGTCCTTAATCTTTTGATTAAAGCTAATGCTTTATCACTCGAGCCATACGTCCACTTCCAGCTTTTTTGGTGGTTTAATGGAGGTAAGAGTCTTATGGACTTTCCTGCCTTGGCTGAATATTCCAACCCCAATCCTCAGATCTCAGCCTCCTGAGTAGCTAGGATTACAGGCATGAGTCACCAATGCCTGGCAGGCAGTTCCATTTTTTTTTTTCTTTTTCTTTTTTTTGGGTCAGTTGTGGGGCTTGAACTCAGCCTGGCGCTGTCCTCAGCTCTTCAGCTCAAGACTAGCACTCTACCACTTGAGCCACAGAGCCACTTCCGGTTTTCTGGTGGTTAATTGGAGATAAGAGTCTCACAGACTTCCCTGCCCAGGCTGGCTTTGAACTGGGATCCTCAGATCTCAGCTTCCTGAGTAGCTAGGATTACAGTCGTGAGTCACCGGTGCCCGGCAGGCAGTCCCTTTTAAAAAGAAGGGTTGAGAATTAGGTGGCCTGCTCAGAGTCATAGTCCAATAAATAGAGCCAAATAACCCAGATTTCTAAAACTTCAAAGGTGGAAAGTTGAAAATGTGAATGCTCTATCCTACTGATAGTCTAAGACAATAGTAATAGTAGCAACTAGCATCTACATGTTTCCGAGATGTTGTAGCCTTTCTCAACTTGGGTCAATGCATCCATTTATTTTGTAACTGAAAATAAATTCTTTTCTATGTTCTATAGTTCAGAAGAATAGCCTTGGTTGAGAAAGGTTGGTACTTCTACCTTCTTTATATACATGCTACCTCAGTTAAGGCTCATCAGCCTTAACTGGTTTAGGAGTCCCATTTGGGAGAAGGAGGTCAAATTTCTAGTCCATAACTTTTTACCACACTCTGACGTTCACTAGAACTGGATGGAGAATGGTGTCAAAGACCTTTATATTTATCTATATCCATACCTCAAATAAGTATATGTACTTCATACACACAATGCATGTGGCTCAGTTCAAGAATACAACATGACCCCATTCTCTACTTCTCAGAAGAGAATATAAATACCAAGAAGTGATTAATATTCAGAGCTGTTACTGCCCCAGAATCACAGATAGGGGCTGTGAGCAGAGAGACCAGGACTACTAGATGTCATTGGAGAAATACTGCATAAGCAGAGTGGTAGTTCACCGATTAGTTGGTATTGTAACATCTCTCAGGATACTAACATTCCATATTTATCCTCAGGGATATAAGGAGTTGAAGATAGATATAGATTTATTTACATTTTCAAATTCTAGACTTGTGCAAAATTGTTAAATAGTAGGAAGAATAAGATATAAAAGGATCAGCCTAACACCCTTTGATCTTTTGTGTAACAATAATACAAAGTAATAGTTTATCAAAGAGGATCAATTCAAATCTGGACATTTAGCTATAAACTAGTCAGAGATTTATAAAATAAAAGGAATTGTTGCTTACAACTTTTGTCAGTCCAAACATGTAGTTCCTGTGCAAGTTCAGGAATCACCAAGAAAGTTCGCCACCCTTGCCGTTTCTTTGATTTTAAAATGTCTCCAAAAATATGATCTCCAATATACAAAATGTCTTTGCCTTTGGCTCCCAACAGATCACAGATTGTATCAGATGAGCCTAAAGCAATGAACAATGATAAAGCAGAACTGTTGCCATATTTAAGCCAGCAAAGTACAATAACTATAAAATTCTGACTAATTTCACTCTTATAATTTATGTGAGGAATAGACATTTCTTAAAGACAAAGACTCATTTTATTATACTCTTCTGACCAAAAGCACCAATAAGCAAGTCTAAGTAGTACTCAGATTTAATGAATATAACCATCAAAAGTACTGCCACCACATTTTAGCATGTATCTGTCACTAAGTTGACTTTTGTTCTACTGTTCCTAACTCCTTACATAATATGTATCTGAACCCACATAAGTTCCCTGGAAACTGAGAAACTCCTCAAATGATTCCAGAGCCTAGAGAAAAAGCTTCAAGTAGGCAGAATAAGTGGGAAAGCTGATCCTTTTAATGAAAATAGACCTTATTTCCTTTAACACATTATACTAGTAGGTAACTGAACTATATTCAGTAGGTGACATCAAATTTTCCATTAATGAGGTCTGAGCAAAGACAACACTCATTGTACAAATGCAGTAAATAAAGGGAAGTCTGCAACTCACCTCCTGAATAGACAATGCCATGCTGTAGGGGGCCTGTATAGGTACCAATTTTCAGCTTGCCAGTTTTCTATGTGAAAGAGAACATATTTTGTATTACCTTATCATCCTATCACTGTTTCTACCCACATTTCTACTTCACCAGGCAGCCAAATGAATGGTGCCTATTCTTTTCAATTAGCAGTGTGTCAGGCTACCTCAGTTAAGACTAAAACTTAATTTAAAACTCAAAGAGGGCCATAAGTTAAAAATACTTGTGAGTAAAATACCTCTTACGAAGAAAGATGTAGAGCAAGGAGAAAACATAGAGGAAAGTGTGCTAGCAGACCCTATTACCCTCTCGACTTACAGTATCCACTTGACGTAGTACTGTGCCTTCTCCAAAAAAGAGTGGTTTCCGTGCATCCACCAAGATCAGGTCAAAGTAGGACTGCCATGGTCGATGGGAGCTCCCAGGCTGGGAAAGGACAACCAGCAAAAGCCAAAAGATAACTTTTCATCTTAAGGCACCAATATTTAATCTCAGTTAAATGAAAGGAATTTTAAAATACTAAGCATAACAAAGAGTCCATTATTTATAAAAACCTATGACTAATTATGTGATATCTTTTTGAAAACATGCAGGTGTAAATAATAAATGACTAATACTAATTTTAAAAACATTCATTGACTACAGAATTATACAGCACTTTAATACATGCAAGTTTGCTCATACTTTGCTTTTGTTCTCAGAATGATTGCTGTAGGTCAACATTGGCTTTTAGTACATATTGCAAGGTAAACACAACAATAATGTAGCAGTTATGTCCATTAAAATTATTTCCATTCTGAAATGGAATCACAGCAGAAACTTGTCAGGACAAGCTAGAGGTCACTGTACACTGTAATGTGGGGTAGTTTCAAAACATAGATTTGGTAATGCTTATTCATAAAAGGTTACAACTAAAATTCTCCAAGTATGTATGTAAGTTACACTGGGTATTCCTTAAAATATTACAAGAATGAAGCTTTCTCCTCTCAGTAATAACTGCACAATCTATATTGTCAGGAATATACAAATTCAAATTGTTTCTGCAAACTTCCTTAACTTGAAATTTTTATTCATTCTCATACAAATTTAACAATTCTGCACAGAAGTTCTTAGGCATAAAATTATTAAGAGCCTATCCACTAAAAACTATGTATCTCTTTTATTTCTCGTATTTGAACTGCTAGTAACTTAAATTCTACTAGTCCTGTGTTACTTTTAATGGTAATGAAGATTAGACAATAGGTTTTAAAACCACAAATTTTCTAGGTGAGTCCCTAACCATTTCTTTCCAGAATGATTTAACTGCATTATTATACTAAAGCAATGGTCTAATAAGTCACTATTATATTACCTTGGGTCCATGTGGGAAATCAAACAGGTAAGTCATAATTTTCTGGGGAAAAAACAAACAACATGAAATCTGTGTATCACTTTTGTAAAAGAAAGATAACTAAAAAATCCCAAACAAGGTTTTCATTAAAACATGTCTTTTTCAATACAGGATCCACTGTGCTCTTATTTCCTCTAAAGTGGATGAAATCTTGCCAGTAGAAGATAAAAATAAGTGCCTCATTATACAAAAAAAAAACAAAAAACAAAAAAAACTCACATTCTCAAGAAAATATATACTTTCAGATGTTTCTGTACAGATTGATTCATATGTCCCAAGTTTTCTTAGAACACATACTTGGAAGAGTAAAGGAGGGTCATAGAAAAGACTTAAAACTTCTCATGGAAATAATGTATTACATAAAGAGAACTGGAGGACAGAACTTCTTTTTTTTGGGGGGGGAGGGGGGGTGGTGTCCGGTCGTGGAGCCTGAACTCTGGGCCTGGGCGCTGTCTCTCAGCTCTTCAGCTCAAGGCTAGTGCTCTACCACTTGAGCCAGAGTGCCACTTCCGGCTTTTTTCTTTTTGCTTATGTGGTGCTGAGAAATCGAACCCAGGGCCTCATGCATCCAAAGCAAGTGCTCTACCACTGAGCCACCTTCCCAGCCCATGGAGGACAGAACTTCTTGCAAGAACTATTATCTTGTAGTTGTTTCAGAAAAATTAGTAAGGAGTTAAACCAGTTTTCCCATGTGTTTTAATCATAAAGGTCATGTTTAAAGTTAAGTAGTAGTAAGTTTCAATGGCTAAGGTTCAAAAGAGCTTTCTACCAACTATCCTGCAGAGCTTCCCATGACAGTGTAGTTTCTCAACAGTGTAGTTTCTCAAATGTACACATATGATGTTCCAAGACATAGAGCCACTTTAATCACAAAAATGTTTTAGATAGCCCTCAAATTAAAACCTTTAACTTGGCCTGGCGCTGGTGGCTCACACCTGTAATCCTAGCTACTCAGGAGGCTGAGATCTGAGGATCGCGGTTCAAAGCCAGCCCGGGCAGGAGAGATCGTGAGACTCCTATCTCCAATAAACCACCAGAAAACCGGGAGTGGCGTGGTAGCTCAAGTGGTAGAGTGCTCACCTTGAGCTGAAGAGCTGAGGGACAGTGCCCAGGCCCAGAGTTCAAGCCCCACGACCAACAAAAAAATAAAAAATAAAAAAATAAAACATTCAACTTGGAATCAGAGAAAATAATCAAAAAATATTTTAAAAATTAGAATAATTCCAGTATGGTCGTAATCCTGTATAGTTTGCTTTCAAAGTAAGATAGCAAGAAACTACCTTCATTTAATAAACTTTTTTTTTTGGCCAGTCCTGGGGCTTGAACTCAGGGCCTAAGCACTGTCCCTGAGCCTCTCTGTGCTCAAAGCTAGTGCTCTACCACTTGAGCCACAGAGCCACTTCCACTTTTTCTGAGTAGTTTATTGGAGATAAAAGTCTCACTAACTTTCCTGCCCAGGCTGGCTTTGAACCACAATCCCTAGATCTCAGCGTCCTGAGCAGCTAGGACTACACTAGCAACTGGCTTAATAAACTTCTCTTCTTAGAACCTTTAGTTCTTTACACCAAAATAACTTCTCTGTATAAGTAAATATGAATATTAAGCACTTACATCTGTATACTTATAGTCACTGTTGGTGGCAAGAAATACTTTCCCTACTTCATTCATCCGGCTCAGAAGCAAAGGCAGCTTTCCCTGAAATAAAATATGATAATGAACAAAACACAAAATACTTCTGCCCCTCCCACCACCCAGTACTAGGTTTTTAACTCAGAGCCTCATACTTGCTAGGTAAGCACTCTATCACTTGCTCATAAAGTCTCAGGCTTCTGCCTGGGCTGTCCTAACATTGTAACCTTGTACCTCTGCTTCCTGAGCAGCTGGGATTTCAAGCATGCACCACCATACTCAGCCCTAAATACTTTTACACTGGCCCTTGAGGATACTCATATACTAGAATTTGCTTATGGATTAAAAGGCCATTTGAATGAAGTATTAACACATATAATACAGACATATAACATGTAGACTTATATGATCATTAACAACAGTTATCTATCTTCTTGAGTCTGTCTCAGGAAAGAGTTTAAATTGTCTTGTGAGTTCCTGAAATGTGTGATTTAAGTGAGAGATCAGGAGAAATTGATTGTAAACATAACTAGCAAATTTGTGGATCTCTATATGGAGATTATTAGATATGACTAGATTGTGTATAATATGGTTTTATAAAACACTTTGCAGACGGGCGCTGGTGGCTCACGCCTGTAATCCTAGCTACTCAGGAGGCTGAGATCTGAGGATCGCGGTTCAAAGCCAGCCGGGGCAGGAGAGACCGTGAGACTCCTATCTCCAATAAACCACCACAAAACCGGAAGTGGCGCTGTAGCTCAAGTGGTAGAGCGCTCGCCTTGAGCTGAAGAGCTGAGGGACAGCGCCCAGGCCCAGAGTTCAAGCCCCACGACCGACCAAAAAAAAAAAAACACTTTGCAGAATGAAATGATATATGCAAGTCAACCTACATATGTCCATACCCACCCGTAGATAAATTAAGGCAAGTCTAATTCCTGATATGCCTAGAAAGAAAAACACCTTTTCCTCATTTCACAATAAACAAGTTCCTATACAAATACTCCTGAACCCTCTCTAGTTCTTTCTAGAAACTGTAAGAGGGAGGTGAAAACAGGCAGTATACTAAAAACAAGAAACCTTCACTGTACTGCTTCTTTTACTTTACAGAAAAATAATGTATCTCATCTTGGAACTGTGTGTTTAGTTTATAGAAAAGCTGTGAAAATGCATTCATATATACTACATATTACTACAATAATGTTATATAGATACATATATATACATATATATACATATATATATATGTATATATATGGCAATAAAAACAAACTCTTTTTATTCTCCATCCAACTTTCCTTAATAGTAGCATCTTGGTTTTTTTTGTTTGTTTTTTTTTTTTTGGGTCCGGTGGTGGGGCGTGAACTCTGGGCCTGGGCGCTGTACCTCAGCTCTTCAGCTCAAGGCTAGCGCTCTACCATTAGAACCACAGCGCCATTTCCAGCTTTTTTCTTTTTGCTTATGTGGTGCTGAGAAATTGAACCCAGGGCCTCATGCATGCAAGGCAAGCGCTCTACCACTGAGCCACCTTCCCAGCCCCAATAGTAGCATCTTAATTGCACATAATCTATACTAAAAAATTAACATGTAAAACACCTATTAACTTTAATTTTTAAAAATTTACCAAGATTTTCACTGATCTTTTTAGGTACTTTTTTTTGGGGGGGGGCAATAATGGGATTTATTAGGCAGGTACTCTACCACTTGAGCTATATACCTCCTGTCCTTTTTTAAGGTACTCTAAAGCTTTCTTCCCTATTGCCTATTAATATGCTAAATAAGTCATATATATGAATATTTTTTAGTCTATTACGTGCAGTTCTTATGATCTAGGTTAGATCTGGGTGAGAAACTTGGCTTTATTACTTACTATATAACATTGGGCAAGATATTTAATCTGTAATTCCCCAATTTCTTTATAAAACAGAAGTAACAATAATAACTAACAGAGTTATATGGAAGAGTAGATGATATAATACATGTAATCGCAGCATAGTGATGTGCACAAACTAATCTTGGAGCTGCTATTATGACAATTAGAGCCAAAGGGAAAAAAGAAATTCTGGGTCTTCTTGCCTATCAACAAACAGGAGAAACAGCCTATGATCTGGGTGAAAATCATGGGTGATTATACCTGTGAAAAGCCACACAAGGAAACATCTTTCCTTGTCCATGTCACTATAAATAGGTATGCTTGAGTTTTTTTCTTTGATTGGTAAAATAAACTATACAGATCAACTTCTCCCTCATACTTACATCTTTGACTACATACTTCTCAAGATTTTCAACTGTCTTTTCCTTTAGGGAGCCCTACAAAAAAAAATAAAAAAGAACTAAGAAAAGAATAAAGTCATTTTTTAATATTTAGTTTGTAAGAAAAATGTATTTACTATCAACTCAAATTTACATTATTTACCAAAATAGAAAATGTAAGTTAAAATCACAGAAAAATATCTTCAAATATGAAACTATTTCTATTTTAATTTAGAAATTAAGATTTCATATGGTTTATAATAAATATAATTTTTTGCATGATTTATAGTAAATACAATTTTTTTTTTTTGGCAGTCCTGGGGCTTGATCTGGCCCTGGGCACTGTCCCTGAGCTCCCTTTTAGCCACAACATCACTTCTGGTTTTTTGTAGGTTTTTTTTTAATTTGTTTTTTGTTTTTTGTCAGTTGTGGGGCTTGAACTCTGGGCTTGGGCACTGTCCTTGTGCTCTTCAGCTAAAGGCGAGCGCTCTACTGCTTGAGCCACAGCACCACTTCCGGTTTTCTAGTGGTTTATTGGAGCTAAGAGTCTCACGAACTTTCCTGCCTGGGGTGGCTTTGAACCGTGATCCTCAGATCTCAGCCTCCTGAGTAGCTAGGATTACAGGCGTGAGCCACCGGCGCCTGGCTTTTCTGTTTTTTTGTGATTAGAACTCTTAAGGACTTTCCAGCCTCGGCTGGCTTCGAACCATGTCCCTCAGATCTCAGCCTCCTGAGTAGCTAGGATTACAGACATGAGACACCAGTGCCCAGTAGTAAATATAAATTTAATATTAAGTAGTAATATTCTTAGTCAAGTAAGAAGTGTTTGAACAACAAAAAGCAAAGGATGACCCAGGCAATAATCTTCATACTTGTAATTGTAGCAACTCAGAAAGCTTAGATTGGATGAATGCATTTCAAAGCCAGCCTGGGCAGGAAATTCCCTGAGACTCTTATCTCCAATTAACCACCAAAAGCTGGAAGCAGAGCTGTGGCTGAAGTGGTAGGACACTAGCCTTAAGCACAAAAGCTCAGGAACAGTACCTAGGCCTTGAGTATAAGCACCAGGACCAGCAAAAACAAAACAACAAAAAGACAAAAACAAAGAACTATTATCCACAAATAATTTAAGTACAATTTCATACTCTAAAATCTCTTCTAAGTTTGAAAAATGAAAACAATAAAATCAAGAAGCTGGGCTTTTGCCACTGAGGAAAGGGTGGTGGGACAATCAAATGTATCCCAGAATAATCACCAGGGGGGCAAGTCCCATGCTTTCCCTTCCTACTTTCTTAAACAGAAGAAAAATTCTGTCCCATTTGTCCTTTCAAAGCTAATGCCAGACTGTGAGTCAGTAAAGAAGCAGCTTCTAGGTACCTTGTAATGAACCCAGTCAACAGCATCTCTCACATCCTGGAACATGCTCCGGTAAGACATGAAGAGGTCCCCATCCTTAAATCCTGTCTCACAGCTACAGAAAAATGAGAAGAACATGACAGGGAATCCAAAAGAGTAAATAAAATGAGTATCATAAGTTGCCCGGGGGGCCTAAAGGTTCCAGGTCACATTGTGTATATAGGCTGCGGCTAATTATGAAAATATTTACTCCCTAATGAAAATCATTTTTGGCCATTACAAATGGCCATAGTGTTCAATGGAATGCAATAATTTTAAACAAATACAAAATGACAGCATAATATATTGGATGGAAACTAAAATATCAGGTTGTTTTACTTGTCCCTTTTTACAAACAGGTTCTCATTAAAGAAACATTTAGAACTTAAAATTGGTCATTTAGATTCTTTCTACTTTGACTTTTTGACATTGGCCCTGGGTACAAAGGTACTGTCCATTTTCTGTTTAGCTTAGTGACTCAGCTTTCCACCGAATACCTTAAAGCTGGATAAGGCCCAAGATAAGAAGTTAGCAACTCTTGACATATATGGTTATACTTTGAGCAGTACTAAACAATTCCTTCAAAAGGAAAGGCTAGCTGGTTTAAAAGTTTAGCAAAATTTTGGTTTCAGGAAGATAAATAGCATTTATTCCTCAAGGAAATCTTGCTGGGCCTGGGAATGAAACTAAATTACCATCACTGAATGGCTCCTAGGTAGCTGCTGTGAAATGAGTTGGGGGGTTTTAGTGTAATTCTGCTTGGACAGATAATCATCACACAAACCTCCCACTCAGTTGTCACAATTAGCACCTCTGCTGGCCGTCTTCATTCTCAGGAGAAGCCAATCAGAAGTGGTCCCTTCCAAACATGGCTGCAGCACACTGGCAAGGAGAGGGGCCGTGTGGGAGGTGAGAGCCTGCATGGAGCTGCTGGTGCTGTCCCATCTCTCAGGCTGGCAATGTGGCATCTCTCACTAGCACTAAATTCACTTCAGAAAAGCAGAAAAGACCTACAATGGCCAGTTCTCTAAAACCCTGTACATTAATTTTTTATAAAATCAACTGGAAAAAGAAAACTGTAGTATATACATACCTCGTATATCTGGGACAATTAGTAAAAAAATCTACTAGGCAGGCCAACAGGTAGGTTTCTGAAAAATGAAGAATAGATATTCATAAGCTAGATATGAAATAATTTAAACTTATTTCATTATCTCCCTTAAGCAAAGATAAATGATCATGGAAAGAAGAGAAAGCATCAGTTTATATAAGCATAGAATGAGTCTACCTGGTAGATTGAATAATGTGTTCAGAATATAAAATCGTTCAGTGTCATCTCGTTGGATAAATTTATTTGGATACTGCTCTCTAGTTTCTGGCCTGAAAGAAAAGGTTAAAAATTAACTGACATTCAAAACATTAACATGGGATGGGAAGGTGGCTCAGTGGTAGAGGGCTTGCCTTGCATGCCTGAGGCCCTGGGTTCAATTCCTCAGCACCACATAACCAAAAAGAAAAAAGCCGGAAGTGGCGCTGTGGCTCAAGTGGTAGAGCGCTAGCCTTGAGCTGAAGAGCTGAAGGACAGCACCCAGGCCCAGAGTTCAGGCCCCATGACTGGACCCAAAAATCAATCAATCAATCAAAACATTAACATGGTAATTATAGAAGTGTTCATTGTTCAAATTTAGTTCAAATATTCTGATGGTTATGTGCATCAAAAAACTAAATAATCATAGACAGCTATGAAGGTGAGGCAAGCTCAAGTTCTATCCCTTAAGAAGTTCTTAGTCTGCTGGGAAGGTGGCTCAGTGGTAGAGCACTTGCCTTGCATGCATGAGGCCCTGGGTTCGATTCCTCAGCACCACATAAGCAAAAAAAAAAAAAAAAAAAAAAAGCTGGAAGTGGCGCTGTGGCTCAAGTGGTCGAGTGCTAGCCTTGAGCTGAAGAGCTGAGGGACAGCGCCCAGGCCCAGAGTTCAGGCCCCATAACCAGAACCCTCCCACCCCCCCAAAAAAAAGAAGTTCTTAGTCTGGTAGATGAGTCATATACCTTAAAATTTTAACAGTGTAAAGCAACAACAACACAACCACTACAAGAAAGCTACAAAACACTAAGGAAAACTGTTTTTATCTTAAAAGGTAGAAGGAAGTGAATGTTAAGAATGGGGCAAGGACAATCTAGCAAGGATCCACATAAGTGGTATAAGTTGGGACCTAAAGGCTAATTGGACCAGTTCAGAAACGAGTACAAATTTAGTTGAGCAAGTGGAACAGAGAGAAACACAGCTGGAAATATGGGTCAAGAAAAAAATCATGCTATTGCTCTTATACTTCAAAATAACAGGATGCTACTTACAGTTGTTAAGCAGGGGGATTAAACTAAGCTTTCACCAAGTTCTAAAAACATTAAGTTGGTAGCAATTTTAGAATGAGAGAAAGAAAATGAGATTTTTTTTTTTTTGGGGGGGGGGGGGGGGTTGGGTCTGTTGTGGGGCTTGAACTCTGGCCTGAGCGCTGTCCCTGTGCTCTTCAGCTCAAGGAGAGTTCTCTACCGCTTGAGCCACAGCGCCACTTCCGGTGGTTTCTGAGTGGTTTATTGGAGATAAAGAGTCTCACGGACTTTCCTGCCCAGGGCTGGCTTTGAACCTCGATCCTCAAATCTCAGCCTCCTGAGTAGCTAGGATCCTCAGATCTCAGCCTCCTGAGTAGCTAGGATTACAGGCATGAGCCACCGGCGCCCAGCATAAGATGTATTTTTTAAATTGCCATAAATTCTTCCTATCCCTTTGCAATGCAACGTTGTGCCTCCTCGCATTAGAAGCTCAGTTTGTATTTCTCCATCCTTGAACATAGATATAAATAGCAATACAGGTATAAACAGCAACTTGAGATACAAGTAGAAATTTATAACATATTTGCCCTCTCCTGCTGCACTTGGAGCTCTGAGATTTCTCTGTGAATGAGAGTGAGATAGTTTGCGGGAGGATAAAAAGGAATATGAAGGCATTTTAGCCAAAAGCTGCATAGTGCCAGACATGTAAGTTAGGCCACTTTAGATCAGCTGCCAACTGATCTATCAACTTAACTACAGACAGACACATAAAAGAGACCATAGGGATTAACTGAGTAACCCCAGAATTGCCCAGCTAACTTAAAAAAATTTTTTTTCATGCTGTTACTAGGAGCTTATCCAGGCCTGGGCACTGTCCCTTAGCTTTTTTACTCAAGGTCAACACTTGAACCACAGCTCTATTTCTGCATTTTTGTTGGTTAATTGGAGATAAGCATCTCATAGATTTTCCTTGCCTGGGTTGGCTTTGAACTATGATTCTTAGATCTCAGCCTTCTGAGTAGCTAGGATTGTCAGTATGAGCCACCAAGTGCCCACTTTTTATTTTTTGGTTGGTCGTGGGGCCTGAACTCTGGGCCTGGGTGCTGTCCCTCAGATCTTCAGCTCAAGGCTAGTGCTCTACCACTTGAGCCACAGCACTATTTCTGACTTTTTCTGCTTATGTGGTACTGAAAAATCAAACCCAGAGCCTCATGCATACAAGGCAAGCACTCTACCACTGAGCCACCTTCCCAGTCCTCTTTTTTTTTAAATAAGTTTTTTATTGTGACAATATTGTACAGAGGGGTTACAGTTACATGAGCAAGGTAATGAGTACATTTCTTATCCAACATTGTTGCCTCCTCCTTTGTTTTTCCCCTACCATCCTGTCCCTCCCACCTCCTCAACTAAACCCCTACCTCCACCCCATCTCCCATTTGTTTTGTTTTTTGAGACAGGACCTCACTATGCAAGCTAACCTCAAAAGTGATTTACCTGCCTCAGCCTCACCAGTGCTAAGACTATAAGCATGTTACCATTCTGCCAAGCTAAAATTTAAAGAATTGAGCTAAATGGTCACTGCTTTAAGCCACCAAGTTTTGGAGTAACTTGTTCAGCAGACAGCCGACTGACACAGAGCTCAAGTAATGGGAAATCAATTGGTAGTTATACAGTAGTACAGAGGAAAAGAGTAGGGCTTGTCCTAGCTTGAGTCAGAGGGGGAAAAAATGTACTTTTCTTCTTTTTCTTTTTGGAATGCTAGGGATCAAACCCACGGCCTTCTATATGCTTCACTAGCTAGACATTTTATATCCCCAACCCATAAAAAAATATTTTTAAGCTGGATGCCGGCAGTTCATGCCTGTAATCCTAGCTATTCAGGAGGCTGAGATGTGAGTACCAAGGTTTGAAGCTGGATGGACCAGGCAAGTCTGAGACTTTTATCTCTAGTTAACTACCATAAAGCCAGAAGTGAAGCTATGGCTCAAGTTGTTAGAGTGCTAGCCTTGAGCAAAAGAGCTAAGGAACAGCAACCAGGTCCTGATTACTAGCTCCAGTATTAGCACCAAAAAAAAAAGTATTCAAGGAAAATTGCCAAGGTAACTTACTGGGTATGGGGGATGAAGAATACAAAAATTAAATGATGATGATGTGTTTCAAAAAATAACTTTATTGTTACTATTAATGTGTTGTACAGAGGGGCTACCATTACATTGTCAGGTAATGAGTATGTTTCTTTTTTGAACATTACTTTTTCCATTACTTTTCCCCAGTAAGATTATGATTTTTGTTGTTGTTGTTGTTGTTTTTGGTTGGTTGTGGGCCCTGAACTCTGGGTCTGAGCACTGTCCCTCAGCTCTTCAGCTCAAGGCTAACACTCTACCACTTGAGCCACAGTACCACTTCCAGCTTTTTCTGCTTATGCAGTGCTGAGAAATCGAAACCAGGGCCTCATGCATGCAAGGCAAACATGCTACCACTGAGCCACTTTCTCAGCCCCCAGATGATGATGTTTTATACTAAGGTCACTGGGAAGTGACTCAGGATCAGTGGCTATGAAACCTTATCTCCAAAATAACTAGCAAACAGTGAGATGGGATAGAGTGCCAGCCAAATAAGCAAGCCAAACCATTTAATCCATGTGTGGTATGTGGTGTGTGTGGGGTGTGTGTGTGTTGGTCCTGGGGCTTGAACTCAGGGCTTGGGTGCTGATCATTAGCTTTTTCACTCAAGGCTGATGTTCTACCACTTGAGCCACAGCTCTACTTCCAGCTTTTTGGTGGTTAATTGGAGATGAGTCTCACAGACTTCTATGTCTTCTATGTTGCACTGTGATACTCAGATCTCAGCTTTCTGAGTAGCTAGAAATATAGATATGAGCCATGGCCCCTAGCATAAATGACTTATTTTTAAAAATACTGTTAAGTGTATTCCTAAAGAAAATACTTTGAAATTATACTATGGAGAGGTGGTTTATGAATCTTGAGCTAGTAAATTTGGTTTTAAAATTAATTTACTAAAAAATAAATAAAATACAATTAATTTACTGAACTGTTTCTTTTTCTTTTCTTCCCTACTTTCTCTTCCACTAACAACAAAATCCTTTTTCAGGCATAAAAAAAGTTGGCTTACCTTCAATAAAAATTTTAAGAACAGTGACCTTTGTATATAAAAGAGCTTATACTATACTACAGCAATTATTTTTGCTTAAATCCTGCTTCCTGATATTCATGATTTTTTTTTCAGTCATGGGACTTGAACTCTGGGCCTAGGTGCTGTACCTCAGCTCTTCAGCCCAAGGCTAGGACTCTATCAAGCACCACTTCCGGTTTTCTGGTGGTTAATTGGAGATAAAGAGTCTCAGGACTTTCCTGCCCTGGCTGGCTTTGAACCACAATCCTCAGATCTCTGCCTCCTGAATAGCTACAGGCATGAGCCACAGTGCCCAGCTCATGAATCTTAAAAATCACCTTGTAAAACAAAGAAAAAGAAAAGTGGGAGTCAGGAGAGGTGGCTCACATCTATAATCCTAGATACTTGGGAGGTGAAGATCAGGAGAGTAAAAGTTTTAGACCAGCTGTGGCAAACACTTAGTGAGACTCTCATCTCAACCAATAAACTAGGCATGGTGATTTTTATCTGTTATGCCAGCTACGACAGAAGTCTAGGTAGGAGGATCAAGCCAAGCCCTCTGGCAAAAATTCAAAAAGCCCTATCCTAGAAGTAAAGCAAAATAAAAAGAAAAGGACCAGGGGAGAGACTCAAGTGGTAGAATCCACAAGGCTCTGAGTTCAAATACCAGTACTGCAAAGAAAGAAAGGAATGAAAGGAAAGAAAAGGCAGATTTATCCCTTCTAACCACTCCCTTATGTCAAGGTGTATATTATTTCACATTATTCTCACAGAGTATATCTAAGACATCTCTGAGTCTCTTTAATGTCAGTAAAGTCATTTGAACAAAGTATGTTAGATGATTGAATTGTCAGAGAGACACTGTTTTAAGATTTCAAGGAAGCTCAGTTAGTTTCAGTTAGTTTGAGACTCTTAAAAAATTACTTGCCAAGCCAGGTGCCAGTGGCTGAGGCTTGTAATCGTAGCTACTCTGGAGGCTGAGATCTGAGGATCATGGTTCGAAGCCAGACAGGGCAGAAAAGTCTCTATGAGACTCTTATCTCCAATTAACCACTCAAAAACTGACGTAGCTCAAGTGATAGAGCACTAGCTTTGAGCACAAAAAGTTGCAGGGACAGTACCGAGGCCCTGAATTCAAGTCCTATAGCCAAAAAAAAAAAAAAAAATTACTTGCCAAAAGATAATGTTCTTGGGCTGGGAATTTGGCTTAGTGGTAGAGTGCTTGCCTAGAATGCATGAAGCCCTGGGTTCGATTCCTCAGTACCACATCAACAGAAAAGGCCAGTAGTGGTGCTGTGGTTCAAGTGGTAAAGTGTTAGCCTTGAGCAAAAGAAGCTCAGGGATAGTGCGCAGGCCCTGAGTTCAAGCCCCAGGACTGGCAATAAAAAAAGATATTGTTATTTAATAACAACAATATAGAGTTTTTACTACTTGCCCATTAAGAGAAACTATTATAGACACTAATAAAATCTATTTTGGTTTTAAAAGTTGCAGTTCTTCATTTGAGAGGTAAGAGAAGAGGATCTTAAATACAAGACTAGCGTGAGAAAAACAAAGTTGCTGTTCTGACCCACTACAGTAAGTAGAGAAAATAGAAAGCTACAAGTTATCAAATTGCAATACTGAGATTCTTAAAGACAAAATTGGTATGTTTCATCAAGAATAGTAGTAGGTGTTAAATTTTACCTGCTGTTTATGAGGGTGGAAAAGTCCAAATTAGTAACAGTACTGGAAATATTAAAAATTAAGAATCTAGCTTCTGGTTTTGTTTTTGTAGTGCTAGAGATGATACTAGCTAGCGAGGCAAGCAGCTTTTACTTAAGCATTCTACCACTGATCTATATTCCAGTACTTTCCTGCCTCTTGTTTTTTGGTGATGAGGTCATATTAAGTAACCTAGATTCTGACCATCAAATTCCTTGACCACACACAAGGCTCAGTGATACAGGGCCTCCTTGAGCAGCTGAGACCATTGGGAAACACCACCCTGCCTTTTATTTGTATTTAGGGTACTAAACTCTGTAGTTTTAACCCCATGTTCTAATGCTTTGCTCAAAAAATTACCCAAAATTTAAAGATATTCATTAAAAATTTAAGAACAGTTGGGCAGCCAGACACTGCTGGCTCACATCTGTAATCCCAGCTACTCAGAAGGCTGAGATCTGAGGATCGCAGTTCAAAGCCAGCCTGGACAGGAAAGTCCGTGAGACTCTCATCTCCAATAAACTACTCAGAAAAGGCTGGAAGTGGCACTGTAGCTTATGTGGTAGAGAGCTAGCCTTGAGCAGAAGCTCAGGGACAGAGTTCAAGCTCCAGAACCAGCAAACCTAGCTTCTCAGGAGGCGGGGATCTGAGGATCACAGTTAAAAGCCAATCTGAGCAGGAAAGCCTGTGAGACTCTTATCTCCACTTAACTCCCAGAAAACCAGAAGTGGAGCTGTGGCTCTAAGTGGTACAGTGCTGCTAGCCTTGAGCAAAAAAGCTCAGGGACAGTGTGCTCAGGCCCTCAGTTCAAGCCCCAAGACTGACAAATACATAACATTACAAACATCTCCAAAAACTCTTACACACATATCTCTTTCTCTCTCTCTCTCCTCTCTCTCTCTCCTCTTTCTCTCTCTCTCTCTCTCTCTCTCTCTCTTTGTAGGTCATGGGGCTTGAACTCTGGGCCTGGGCGTTGTCCCTAAGCTCTTCAGCTCAAGGCTAATGCTCAACCACTAGAGCTACAGCACCACTTCCGGTTTTCTGGTGGTTAATTGGAGATAAGAATCTCAGACGTTCCTGCCAGGGATTTGAGGTGTGATCCTCAGATCTCAGTCTTCTGAGTAGTTAGGTTTACAGGCATGAGCTACCAGCGCCTGGCACACACATATCTCTTTTGAATAACAACCTGAGCAATACATTTAAAAGGAGAAAATAAGGACTACACACATTGGCTCAGTGATACTGGGCCATCCTAGCAAGCATAAGACCCTGAGTTCAAAGGACAGAGCCATAAAAAGGGGCAGGGGAAGAGAAATCTGAGAATTTCAAATCTAAACTACAGTTTGTTTTTTTTTTCAAACAAGTTTCAAGATTAGCTTTTTCAGATGAATTTAAAGAAAAGTAATTACTAAATATGTCTGTAAGTTAGTTTGGGTTCTGTCTAACAAATGTCATCTATCCTTATATAAAAAGCAGGATAAGAAAGTTTATTTGTAGCCAGGCGCTGGTGGCTCACGCCTGTAATCCTAGCTACTCAGGAGGCTGAGATCTGAGGATCGCTGGTTCAAAGTCAGCCCTGGCAGGAAAGTCCGTGAGACTCTTATCTCCAATAAACCACTAGAAGACAGAAGTGGCGCTGTGGCTCAAGCAGTAGAGTGCTTGCCTTGAGCTGAAGAGCTGAGGGACAGCGCCCAAGCCCAGAGTTAAAGCCCCACAACCGACCAAAAAAATAAATAAATAAGAAAGTTTATTTGTAGAGACAATGTCATCTTTATATTGTCTAACTATAAAAATACTAGAAAGAGGCTTAAGGATCTTTATACTTACCCTCTTATGAAGTTAAATCCATGTGCACAAACCAAGAGGTTTCCATAGGCATCAACTTTCAAAAGATTTCCATATAGTGTGTCAAAGACAAGTCCTCTACATGAAAAGGAAGACATTATTGATAGTGCTAAGTAACATAAGCAATAATTTGATGTGGCACTACCAATCACCATGAACCAGCTTTATCTAATTCAGCCTTTGTATGTCCTCAAACAATATAACAGAGAGAAAATTAAGTAAACAGAATATCAAAATTGAATTCCATGGCTAAGGCTGTAGCTCAGTGGTAAAGCATTTGCTTGGCACTTGTAAAGCTCTGGATTTGATTGCCAGCACTGCAAAGCTAAAAAAATCCCCATTGCACATCCAAAAAAAATCTCAAGAGCAACTAAAACACTTATCCCAGACACATTAGTAATCACAGATATTTTCTGTTGGGATTAAGGACTCAATCAAACAGGTGCAAAACTCTAATTCCTCATGATATAATTAATAATTATTCTAAAATAGTCTTTACATTTCCTTGGAAACTGAGCTAGTCTTTAATATTTCCCTCTATTAGATGCTGTATGTGGGGCATATATGACAGAATTTCAAATAAACACTATCTTCCTTAATCTTCAATTTTCCCCATCAAGTCCAGAAACACAAACTAAAAAAAGCTCTGATTACCAAGTTGCACATACTAGCAAAACATATAAATGCCCTCTAACAGCCAAAGGAAGGCCAGATTGGGCTATTTATGATTACTGCTTACCACATTTAAGGATGTCTTTTCTTACTCATAGTGAGACTACTTTAAATTTTTTCTATACACTAAGCCCAACTCAGGAACACAAAAGTAGTCTTTTTAACTACCATTTCCTGCATGGGGAGAAGGAAATGTTTCTCTCTCCTTTTCTATTTCTCCTTCCTTTAAAGACCCTGTTTATTCTAAAATCAATGCTAAACTTTCACCTTGTGAGACTATCCTTTTGTGAGACAGTCTGACATTCTTTTTATATATGGATCTCAGGATTCATGAGTTTTTCGTGGACACTGGGAAGCTCTCATCCATTCCTGGTGACAAAAACTGGGGATCCAGACAGTAACCAGTATTGATGGAGCCTCCAAAGTCAAAAGATTCACTGTACTACTCCTAACCTAAAGTGTAAAGAACACCTGATTATCTTCTGATCCTTATCATCTTCTGGTTCTGATTGCGGAGTCTGCAAAATAAATTTCCCCTAGTCTCCTCCTAAATAAGATAGGGAAATGACTTTTTTGATTCCCTTTTTATCCAGGGATGGCCAACAGTCTATTCTCAGCATGAAGAAACCATAAATGACAGACCATTAATCCTCTATACTACCTTTAATCTTAAAAGAGACCAAAGCCATTTCATGGGGACACGAGGCAGAATAGAGAGATAAGGAGACAAGGTAATTGTGTTTTTTATTTCCGAATTATTCTGTTAGAAGATTTTAAAAAGGCTACCTAAATCTGTCTTTTTTAAAATGGTAAAAATCTGAGAACTCTTAATAAATGGGTAAAGACAAAAATAAAAGGCTCATCTGACCAAAGGAAGTCCTTACGGTTACCAGTGTTTGAGGTAGGCTTCATTGTTATTACGACAAAATTACTGTCTAAGGATTGAGTTACTTACTAGACTGACATGACCACTTGTGTTTACCAGCTCAAAGAGCAAAAAAGCTACAGAAAAGAACCACCATTTTGCATCTTTAACTCCATTTCCTACATGGGAAGCAAGACATGTTTCTCTTTTTCTATTTTTCCTTTCTTGTTATATTAAAACAAACCCTTAGCCCGAGGCTGGTGGCTCACACCTATAATTCAAGCTATTCAGGAGGCTGAGATCTGAGGATCACGGTTCAAAGACAATCCGGGCAGGAAAGTCCATGAGACTTTTTTTTTTTTGGGGGGGGGAGGGGGAAGGTTCCGGTTGTGGGGCCTGAACTCTGGGCCTGGGTGTTGTTCCTCAGCTCTTCAGCTCAAGGCTAGCGTTCTACCACTTGAGCCACAGCATCACTTCCGGCTTTTTTCTTTTTGCTTATGTGGTACTGAGGAATCGAACCCAGGGCCTCATGCATGCAAGGCAAGCGCTCTACCACTGAGCCACCTTCCCAACCCCCCATGAGACTCTTATCTCCCATTAACCACCAGAAAACCCAAAGTGGTACTGTGGCTCAAGTGGTAGAGCACTTAGGGACAGTGCTGAGGGCCCAGAGGTCAAGCCCCATGACCAAACAAAAACAAAAACAAAAACAACACACACACACACACACACACACACAACCTTGCTAAAAGGAAAAAGAACACATGCTTACAATCACAGCACTTGGGAGGTAGAGACCAGAGGATCAAAAGTTCAAAGCCAAAGCCAGGTGCTGATGGCTCACACTGTAGCTGGTGGCTACTCAGGAGGCTGAAATCTGAGAATCACAGTTCAAAGCCAATCCAGGCAGCAAAGTCTGAGAGACTGATGCTGTGGCTTAAAGTGGTAAAGCGCTAGCCTTGAGTGAAAAAGCTCAGGGACAGTACTCAGGCCCTGAGTTCAAGTCCTACAACCAACCCCCCTGCCTCAGAACAACAACAACAACAACAACAACAAAAAACCTCAAAGTCAATCTGGGCTACCTGGGCTACAAAGAGAGACCTTGCTCAAAACAAACCACAAAAGAGTACAAAAGATATAATGGTTTCATGGTGATGGTATAGTACTACACCTGTGTACAGAAAGTTCATAGTTATTTTAGAATCAATACCAACACAAACACAAACAACAAAGAATTATTTAGTGTATTCTGTTTTTAGTCAGGGATGAATTCAGCATTAATAATTTTGGCAATAGAGGAAATGGTCTTAACCTGAAATAATCTTGAAATTTTACCTGGTTGGGAATGTAGAATCATAAGCAAAGCTGAGCAGCTCCTGGGGATAGCCAATAGAAACTAGTCTCTCCACAGTAAGCTCAAAGCCAAGGGATTCATACTCCGGGGACTTGTATACTGCACAAAGAGGAGGTTCTCATTAGTCAGAATAAAAAACAGCCCATTAAAAGAGAAGGCAAATGAATGAGTTTTTCTTTCCAAATTCCCTCTTTCTCCTCAATCTGTCATTTTTCTTCTTTTCCCTCAGACTTTACATTCTGTATTGCCCCCATCAATTATGAGAATTTAACTCAAGTGCATGAAAAAAATAAGTCCTATTATGGCAGGAGTAACAGACATAAGAACTCTGTAACATTTCACAACACTTCTTTCAATTTTGGGGAAACTGTTCTAAACATTTCCCCCCACCCTACCACCTAAAGTGGAAAGCTTAATGTGCACATCTGTGACTTTAACTATAAGGATATATATAAAGAGAAACTAGGTAAAAGAAATAGGTATTTCTTGAAGACTATCCTGATATACACAAATGATGTAGCAATGTGCAAAATAAGCTCTTTTTGTTACTATTTTCAACAATATTTTTTCCAGAATTCTTCTTTGAAAGTTGTTTTATAACACTCTTCTAATCAGCAGATTTGTTCTATCTGTCATATTTATCTGTTTTCTTATCAGTCCTAGCAATGTTATAAGCTTCAAAATTATATTAAACAAGTATTACTGCAAACAAATGATTTTAAAAAAAGACATGTCTGTGACAGGAAAATCTAGATGTCAATTGGGAATAAGACATTGAGGAATTATTACTGAGACATAATTATGGCAGGTGGGAATGTGCAAGTGTGAATAAGAATACACACTTTTCCTACCTGCTAAAGGAACAGATTAAAAAAAAAATAACATGGATTTCCTAGTACAGAGGTTTCTCTCTTCTACTGTGTCTGAAATTTTCCATAATTTAAAAACAAAAACTTTTTAGAGTAATCACTGCAGTTCAGCATAAAGAAAATGTTGCTCCTTTAAACATGCTTCTTCCAAATGAAATATTTAGGATAGCAACTTCTAGGAGTAAGACGCACTAAAAAGAAAAAGAGAAAGACCTGCTAGTTTTCTAAACACCAAAATGAGGAAAAAATATCCATCCAATTCTTTTAGTTTCATAATAATGTAACTACATCATTATATTATTACAATTTCTACCTACTACTACCATCTTTAACCTACAGCTCAAACTGATGTTTCATTGCATCAGTCTGTCTACTCAAGTTAGTGCTAATATTTTAATAAGAATAATTCACCATTCCTTTTCAGAAGCCACCTTTTAGAATATTTCTTGGAAATACATAAAAGAAGCCAGTAACACTGGTTGTTATCCAACCAGTGGCCAACATTACAGAGAAGGAGAAAACTTTCAGATACTTTCAAACTTGTAACACTGATGTATTTATTTTTAAAAATCCAACTGAAAAAATTTTAAAAGCACACTAGGCTTTCAAGTTTATTTAATAAACATCATCAGATTTAAAAAACCCAGGCCTAAAACTGTTTTTTAACCCCTTTAGGAGATGCATGAGTTTCATCTCCTCACAACTATTTCACAAGAAAACATTTTTATTGAATGATAATGATGTATTTTCTAAAGTAGTCACATTTCTTTCTTCACGTTAACTCCTGTTTTATCCTCCTCTAAGTGTAGAATTCCCAAATCTGTGTAATATACACTGTGGTAAAGGAAGTTGATACATGTTCACAGATTAACAGTGAGAGCTGCTGACAGTAAGACCTGGGACCCACTGATCTCAATTTAAGTCAGTCTGAATATATAAACTCACATCTCTCATCTTACTCTTTCCTCATTCTCTCATCAAAATTGCAGTTAAGTCTCATTTTAACAAAATTTTCATATAGCAAATATTACTTCTCTGACCCAATGTTCCACTTATTTCAAACAATATTTTATGAAATAAAATTCCAGTATAGGTAAGTTATTTGGGGAAACTTACTGACATTTACTCTTATAGAATCTGGCCCATATAAAATGTTTTCAATTTCTAGTATTTTCCAAAAGGATAATTTGCTGAATACATCCTAAGAAAGGGGGATTAAAAGCTGTATTTGAATTACTTTTACTGAAGCTCACCCCTAAATTAACCATTTCCCCTTGGTAGTGAATCAAGTAATTATACAGTAATGGAGTAATTGGTGACTGAAACCTGTGTTAAGAGACATTCTGGACTCAAGCTCAAATTCAGAATTTTTACTGGGAAAAAAAGGAAAAAGCCTCACATTCCCATTTTGCTACCACAAATCCTTAAAAGAGCAGAAAATGGAACATTACACATTTGTCACCCTGTATTTATCAGGCTAGAACTTCTAAGTGGTCAACTGGTAAGATTTTACAAATTCCACCTATAGAAATAAATATTTTAAAATGTTCCTCTTTCTCAAGAAGTTCAAAGTACTTCACAGAAATACAATGTATCATCCTCATTTGCTGACTTGAAGTTGAATACAAGCAGAAGCAGAAGCCAAAATTTAGGATTCTCTCAAGTATGATCCAAAATTCTGTGGTGGGGTATATAACCACTGTTAGGAACTTTTCCATTGGCCCATAAAAGTTAAGCTTGTATACTGAGACACACAATTCTCCCTCATTTCTTTCAACTAGTCCAAAATAAACTGTTAGTCTAAGGTGTAAACAGATTTACCAGTTCCATTTTGACAACACTATCTATTTCGTCAAGTACTATATTAAATCAGCAAGACCTACAAGCTACTGACATTTTCTTGTAAGCTCTTTGGATAAACATTTCAGTAACCCATACTCCCAGGTCATTAAATCATCTGTTAGTAAGCTATACAAAATATAACCAGAGCTGGTGAAGCAGTATTACAACTGTGTAGAATAGAGGTCTAGATATTTTATTCTAAATGTCCTTTGGGAATAGACAATTTATTCTGACTTGCCCGATTACAAAAAATTCCTGAAGTTTATAAAGTACTACTATTTCTAAAAAGTAAAGATTAAGAAGCAAAAATTTCTTTTTACTCAACCAGACCCTATAAAGCCAGCCTTAGATATTTTGCAGGGAAGCCTATTTATCACCTCATTCTATATAGCTCAGGACTTTCCTTAGCTGTAAAGGTTCTAATTCGTTTGTTTCACAAAAGTGTGCAAATAAATGATACACAGCTCCAAGCTCAACTTTTAAAACTGATTTGCCATGGCTCTAAAACCTAGCCAATAGTTTCAGAGTAAATATAAGCCCATATATTAACTCCAAGAAGGTCCTCAGGCCTGCCCCCAGCTAAGCCAATATCCAAGACAAAAGAAGAAATTGTTTTAAGGGCCAGAGTCCAAAAAAGAGGACTGTTTCAGCCACTAGGACAGCACACAGTGTTCTCAGGTTATGTAACTAGACTATAAAGAGAACAACCAAAGCTTTGAAAGTGGAAACTACTGAAAGTGTTTAAAAGGTATCTTTACTCCATAATCTGAGGAAAAACCAGCACTTCAAAAGTAGTTTCTTGTTGTGAGAATGAAAGTTGTGAGCTTTGTTTTCAATAGATGCTGTTTATATAAGAATTTTTGCTAAAGAGGAAAGTTCTTCTGCAGTAAGTAGAAACTTTCTGCATGAAAATTTAGGATTCTTACACATTTTTTACCTTGGACACCAAACTGCTTACAGATTATAGAAAAATAAAGGGCAAATCTCTACAGAGGTTCCAGCCTAGCAGAGTGCTGCTGCCAAAATGAGAACTCACATGAGGCAGATGCAGATGCAGTGTGTGTCACTCCAGTCTTGAAGGAGTTACACTGGCTCTCCTGTTAAAAACAAAACAAAGCAACAAAACAAAAACAAAAACAAAAAGTGGTTTTAAAACTGTTGTGATGGGCTGGAGCAGACACCATTTGGAAATTTCTAGTTACAGGAGTTATCACTGCCTTCTAATTTGAAGCTTCTGACACCATTAAAATGAACTCTAATTGGCCCTAAACAAGGATATTGAGAATATGCTAAGTATTGTGCATTATTTATTTTCTGGCAACCTGAGTCTGGTATATAAGCCAAGTCTGACCTTATAAATTTTAAGTCAGAGAGAAATAGTCTGATGGAAACTGAATGCAGCAAGTAAACGATGTTTAAAACTGAAACTAGCTAGAGAGATAGATTAAAGGACACAAAAACAACTAGTGAAATCTCGTCCTGCTTTCAAGTATCTACTTAAGCTAAGTCTATTTAAACCCATTTTTCTACCTTTCAACACCTAATCTATCATCTTCCTATACACTAGAACCAACTGTACACTTTAAAAAATATAACTAGAGGTACATTTAGAATGGAAATAATTTTTTTCAATACTTGTGTATGATGGAAGTCATTTTTATAATTGGATTATTTATTTGCCTTATCAACTTAAGAGTACCTATAGTATAGTAAAATAACTATACTGACTCTTGGAAGATATACAACATGTCCAACTTTATGTGCAGTCATTTTCCCCAGACATTTAAATTTTTTTTAATATGTGGTTGGATTCCTCAAACAATTTTTTTGTGAGAGCAGAAACATCAAATGTAAAATCTAAAAGTACTAAAAATATTGCAAAGAGGAAAAACTACTCCTCTAGTTAAAAACAAAAACATCCAAGAAGAGTCATTTTGCCCTTATGCTGTAAGTGTTAAATAATGTCAACATCTTGTCATTAGGATATGTGATGGTGAGTCTTTGACATTTTAACTAGAAAAGTAATTATCAATGTTTTCCACTGAGAAAAAATTTAGTAAAATTTTCCTAATTCTTACATAAACAGGTGTCAGAGCATTTTTTCTACTTTACAAACTATTTAAGAACCCTAGCTCACCATAGACACAGTTTTAACTCCAATCAAAGAGACCACAAATGACCTAAAAATAAGATATAGAAAGTTTCTTAAGACAACCTCAATTTTAATTTACTTAAAAATAAGGAAGCTAGATGCCATGCAACACATTTATTTAGTAATGCAAATGTAAAGCAAGCTATAACATTACTAGCTATATAATTAAGTAAAATAACTGGACTTTGAAAGATTACCAATATACTTCTGTTCTTGAAAAGCCCAAATCACATGCT